CTTATCGATATTTTTTTAGACTCCGCTAACGAATCGACTAACTATGTTAATCGCGCGCATGTCAATCGCGGCGAACGGAACTTCGCGGCACGTTGACCGGTTAACGCGTTCCTATTAACGCTCTAGCCGATTTCCCATCTCCTGTTGATCGACTCTCAATGAACACACGTGGACTGTGAAATCTTGGTTCCTTGAAGCCCAAAACCTTACGGTGTACTTTGTACACACCCTTGAGGCTGGAAGTCTCGGGGACTTCTCGATCGGGAATTTCGGGAACGTTTGATCCCTTTAGAAATCCCTTTAGAGATTCAGAAATCGTGTATCATCAAAGTTTCGTCGTTCGGGATTTTGTGATTCTTAGAACCTCTTTTGGAACCTTGAAACTTCAGAAATTTGAATTTGCAATAACTTTGGCAATTTTAGATTAGGGAATTTTAGGTCTTAAATTGTCTTAAAAACGACACATTCTCGAAACGTCCGAAACTCGAAGAGCTAGGAGATTTTCGCAAATATGTGTGTGACTGTGCATACTGTCTTTCTTTCAAGATACCTTGGATGTTTAGAATTTTTCAGTTGGTACTACAAATCCCGGTATGTTTGATCTTAAAAATTTTGGATTTGAAAACACTGGATCTCCTTCGGACAACTCCCGGGTAGGACTTTAAATCTCGACGTTTTTAACTATACTTTAACTTTAACGTTTTGGAACCTTGGATTCATGGATGTTCTTCCAAAATTCCGACATTGATTAACGGTACACCGTCAGATCGATAATACCCTGCGATGACTTTACTAACGCTGACCGTCATATATTCAATGACACAACGCTCTCATTACCTGCCAATCGAAATCCGAATGAAGCACATTTAGAAGTAAACTACGACGTAGAAAGAAACACAAGATACTGCCCGCCGATCCGGAAAAAATGCATCGCTTGACACTGATACTTCTGACACTCGGTCGAATTTTATTTTACACACGTGATAGAAAAAAAAAAAAAACAATAATTACGATCGATGAGAAAGAAACAAATGGTGAGAGAAATTTTCAACATTGAAGCCCTGACAAATCCTGAGAGAAAATCAGTTTGCAATTTTTGCCAAATGATTTCTATCTTCTCCCGATGAAGTACACTGAAAAAGTTACAACTGAAGTGGTGGGGCTAAGGAAAAGAGCACATTAACAACTTGCGTGTAGAACGTGAGTGTGAAGAAGGTCTTTATTTTATTCTACAGGATAAACTCTGTGATAAACTCCGATAGAAAGTTGCAATTGGCTGACAGTATTTTGTAGAAGACTACAGAAAACTTGAAATTGATTCTCTTCACACAGCAGGTCTTTACTTGCACGTGTCCTTCTCTCAGTCACCGTATTAATTGCTTTCTCACAGACTTCTGATTCTCATGCGAACACACTTCCCGAAATTATTCGAACACTTTGGTTTCCGCGCGTACCTTCCTATCATAAGATGTCCTATTCGCGCCTGTTCATACGCAAATCTCATAATGTAATATACGATTATCCTTAGACGATTCTCAGACTTTGTCGAGTCTGTATTCGTACTATAATCGATACTTCGAGAAACTCGCGCGATTCGCAAAGCGATCGCCTAGAGGGACGCGGAGGATTCTCCCGAAGGACTCCTCTCCTACACACGCTGCATCTTCTGTGTATCCTTTCGATATCGAGCCGACTCAACGAGCCGAGCTCACAAGAAAGTAACGCACAGGGTGTCGTGTTAATACTTCACGTCGTTGCCCAAGAACTATGTAAGCGCTACATGCAGTTCGATGAACGTTCTTATAGTTATAATTATAATTACATTGTTTTCCTTTCCGACACATATTCGTTTCTTTCTTTCGAAGAATATGCAATTATAATTGTAACTCCCGGAGAGGTGGCGATCTTTAGTTTGAAATCTCGATTCTCGCAGATCCAGCTCTCATCGGGAGGTCGGACCCTTGGAGAGGCATTCTTGGCACTCACGGGATGCAAGTTTCGATATTCTCCAGGCTTCGATGTTTTATGATATTAGAATCGCGAAGCAACGTCAACTTCATGTCGAAGATGCAAATTTAAAGTTGCGGGTCGCGTCAAGAAATGTAGACTCAGGACTTGAAGTTCTCGGAACCCGAGTCCTTGAGATTGCGCGTTTTCGGAACCACGAGTTCGTGGAACATTGAATATGTTATCTCCTTGCGTTTTTTTAAGATCTTACACCGAGTTCCGAGACCCGAACCTGGAAATCTTGGAACTCTCTTTCGATCTCCGTACGCTTACGGCGGCTGAACTCTAATTTTATCCGTAATGTATAATTATAACTATGTCACGTCGAGAGATGGTACGTTGTCGGTGTTGTAATGACGTTGTGACGATCGTCGAGACACAGTCAGGCACTTCTGTGATTCCTAGACTCGAACGATGTAACGATGTTGAGTTTGTCACTTAACAAACGCCCGCGCAAACGATAGCACTCGTCCTGCGTCAGGACAGGATCGGCCCTCGATCACCGAGGCCCTGACGAAGAAGTTTGTCTCTCACGACTAGCCATTCGAGCTTGTGCCAACTCTTTCGCGAGACTTAACTCTTCGAATACCGAGTAAAGAGTAGTTCTGGTTCGTTGCACACTGTATATAATCGCTTCGAGTCTAACATTGATTATGATAAATGCACTATCTCGACTAATTAACAATCGAATACTTTCCAATTCTTTTTTATCGCCTTTGTAATCTGTAAAAGAGGACATTTTAGTCGCATGCATTCGTGCACACCTACAATTCTCTGTATTATTTCCGTATTAATTATCCAAGTTGTTTGTTGGCACTTTAAAAGAAAGAGAGAGAGAGAGAGAGAGAGAGAGAAAGAGAGAGAGGGGGGAGACTCTGAGATATATCAATAATTCTATAATACATCTGATCACACGAAGAACTAGCTTGTAAAATAAAAACTGAATATCTCGAAAAATCGTTAGCCTGTGAATCTGTATTGAGGACTCATTGAGAACTTTTTGGTTGCTCTGCAGTGTATTTTCCATTAGCCGATTAACTCTTTGTCAGCAATTTTGGAATACGCTGTACGCAGATACAACGGCACAGAAACAATAAAGATATGTTACAGAAGTTCAGGAAGCGCGTATTTCAAGGGTAAAGTCAATTCGCTGCTAACTATAATTAGCGTCAGCACGACGCGTCATTAGGGAGATATTTTGCAATACCGTCTCAGGCACGATAAACGTAAATCGTGAACGTTATTCGCTCAGAAATAACGTCGCAATGTACGCGACGCAATAACATTCACGATTTGCGTTGATCGTGTCTGAGTGATGGTATTGCAAAAACTCCCCATTATGATCACTACTAAATGTTCTAAGAGAGTAGGGAAGAGCGCTATCGTTCGCGTTGTTTAATCTAAATGAACAAATTCTACGCAACGAATCTTGAAAGTAGTCAATATCTAATCAATTTCAAGGATAGGATGAACTTAGAGGATAATTAAATCGACGAGAGAAGGACGAAGGGAAACGTAACCCCAATAAATTTAAAGCAGCGGGACGTTTCGACGGAACGATAAATATCTTCCATTAGACTTCGACATCAACGGCAGGAAAGCGTTGTGACGAGTTTTGCCATATAATGTGGGGTGCAATTACGCGAAGTATGTACATACGTCACGTGTATTAATTATAATAGCGGCGACAGGAACGTAGCGCATATTTTTAAAGGAGACAAAATATACGAACGTCATGGCACTAAGCGATCGATTGGATTGCGATCCCGCGTTAAAAATAGGACCCGGTCGATACTCTACAAACTAGCGTAATCAAGCTGATCGATCACTATTTACGAGGGAGGGAACGCGCGTATGTAATTATACGGTGTCTATGAACCAACTCGTTTTCATGCCGAAAATAAATAAATTTGCAAGACAGGAAGGATGTGCATTCTGGCGTTTTTACTCCCCATCTGTCGATCCCTAATTAACGTTGCGGTGCTTGTTTTCGAAATCAAAGAGATGCCCCCCAAGTGTACACTATATATTTCTTTTTAAATAAATAGAGATTACTGCAAATCATTTCCGTAATCTCTTAAAAAGACTACATAGAATTTTCAGGTTTTTCATATCATAATAAATAACTTTACGCACTTTTCCTCGCAATGAGCATTAGTTTTACTGAATTCAGTACGTTTTTTCTTAGCTCTTTTCTTAGCTACGATACAATCGAGAAGAATCATGACTACTGTTGGTCACGTAAAATTTTCTCAATCAATACGTGCAGAGCAAAATGGTGTAGCGAATAGACACACCGAAGAGAAATGTGTTAGTTTATGTGAGCAAGAGAAAACAAATGGGAAAAGTGAAATAGAAATAGAATAGCTGAAGAAAGTCAAATAAAGATGAGGAAAAGTCAGAGAAGGAGAACGCTGGATATTATAATAAATTATATTTTACTTCAGCATCTATTTCGTTTCAAATAGGAATTAACTTTTGTGTTTCGAAAATGTCAAACTATACATTTATGTATACTTATATATATTCTACATCTTTTCTTCCATTTATATATCCATCGCAATCTTGCCGAAGTATAATTGGCTAATATACTGCAAGAACCTATACATGTATGTAGATACATGAAAATGACGAAATTTTTTAGTCAATGCACAAAGTTTATACATATGAGATAAAGAGGGAAGAACGAAAATACCGATGCGATATAAATAATAATGTAACTTCTTGACCAGGAATCGATATCAATTTCTTTCACGTGGCAGTTCCGTTGAATTTATAGACTGGATTCTGTCTGGATGTGCGATAACGATCTGGAACGGAGGAGATCCCTGCTATTTCTGCAGCAGAATCTCTATACGTTAATTATCTTTATGAACATCGGATGCATTCGCATAAGATTCAGAAGGTTACTTCTCATCTCAAACACGTCATCAAGTAAGTTCATAAAACAGGAATCAATCCCCGGAAAATTGCTCATAAATATACAAAAAAAATTACATAACAAAATAATCATTTATAAATCTCGTTCTTTTATTACATTTTTATAAAATGAAAAAAGAAAAAACTAAATCATGCTTTCAAGTCCTGTTGATTCGCGGCTACTTCCTGTTGCGCTTTCGTCACCTTCAGCGACTCTTGTTGGATGACTACGTCCGATATTTTGTTCACGTTTTCGCTAACGTTGGTTTCGGGAACAGCTTTCGACCACGAAACACTTCTTCGATCTGGAGATCTCGGCACAGACCACGAACTGCTACGCGACCTCCGCTTGGGCGATGCAGTTCGCGATTTTGCTCGTGTGATCCTGACAACTGAGGAGGATCTCCCACCGTGTCTCTTCCTGTAACGATTCCTAGCGCTGCCGCGGGATCTGGAGCGACTTTTGGATCGCGACTTCCGCCTGGACCTCGAACGACGTGTTCTGGACCGTGATACTGATCTGCTGCTGCGTCGTTTGCTGCGCGAGCTGCTGCGTCTTTTGCTACGTGACCTGGTGGCGCTCCTGTGTTTCGAACCCGACCTCGATCTCGTCCTCGTTCTTGTCCTTTTTCTCGAAGCAGATCTACTGGCCGATTTTCGCCGGCTCCGTGATTTAGAGCGGCTCCTGGAACGCGATTTTCGTCTGGATCTGGAGCGGCGCGATCGCGATCTGGAGCGCGATCTGGACGTTGACTTCGATCTCTTACCGCTGCTTCTGAAACGCGAACCGCTGCGTCTCCTGCTGCGAGATCTAGAGGCGCTTCTGGCTCTTGTCTTACTATTCGACCTAGTTTTCGAGTTTCTCGTTTTCGAGATTGATCTGCTCGTGGACTTTCGACGGTTGCGCGACTTAGATGACTGCCGCTTCGAGTCTTGATTAACTATATGCGTAAAGTACTCGTAATAATCCTCGTTGTATAAGTAAGGATTGGTCAACGCATAAGAGCTCACATCGCAACGTGGGAAATATCCTCGACCCCTACGCATAGATGACACGGGATAATGATACCTCGCCATTGGCTCTCTTAGCATCTGTGCTCCCGGATACCGAGACATTGGTATTCTCATCATTTGCATTCCTGGCGACATTGACGGATACCTCGACATCGTCGATATCCTCAGCATCTGTATCGGGTCGTAAGCGTCGGCATAAGGGAGAGTTGCGTCTGAAACAACAGCATTTTTAATCGATGTCATCATGCAGCGTCTATTTATTCTACGGTAATATGTCAATAAACAAACTTTATACACTCGAGATTTACCTGCCGATGATGGTGTGCAATTATTTTTCGTCAAAACGTTCTTCATCTTTTTATTACTTGTCTCCTTATCCAAAGTTTCTAACGAACTGTCTGATCCGGAATCGTCGTCCTTTCTTCGTTTTTTCTTTCGTTTTTTCTGCGGGAGATAATCGATGTTAATTTTTTACGATGTCTTTTAAATAATATTTATGTAAGCAAATAAAATAATTTTCAAGAACTGGTAATAAATATTATGTAAAACCGAGTATTTCGATTAAACACCTTTTTCTTTTTTTCTTTCTTCAATTTCTTCTTCTTAACATCTTCCTTCTTGCCTTTCTTCTCACTTTCCGAATCTAATTTATTAGCATTTTCGCCCGTCTGATCGTTCTTCTTGTCATCCTTTCTCGCTTCTACATTCATATTTTGGCCTAATTTAATTTCGTTTTTCTCCACTTTGGTCTAAAATTAAAATAGACATTATTGATAAATAATGTCACTCTCTCCTATTTTGATATTCATTGAAAATAAATTCTGACTGTATCGCGTACTTTTATTCTATCAAACAATTCATCCAACAATCGCATGCTCTCCAATTGTCGTTGAGCTTTTATTAATTTCTGCTCCTCTCTGGCAATCTTCATAGACACTTTGTCTTCCTCTTGCTTGCGAAACATTTTGAGAGCTTTCCGTTTTCGCTTTTCTTCCCGCTTTTGCTGTCGACTTACTTTCGCCGCCGAATCCGCCTCTTCCTTTTTTCTAAGATAAAGATAAAAGTACGAAAATATCAAAAGGGCAATTCTATATTTACAAAACTCATCTCGGGCTACATTATTTTGACGCTTACTTTTGTTCTTCTCGTCGTTTCTTTTCCTCTTCCTCTTTTTTTCGCAGCTTCTCCGCCGCTAAATTGTCTTGCGCTATTAAGCGTTTTCTTTCGAAATCTCGATGCGACACAGAATTGTCACTCATATGTTTCGTCTTATCAAAATCAACCTGGACAGAATTATTTCGTTGCGCATCATAAAATATATCATAGTGCTATTACATAACTACTAGATTTTTCTGTTTCACTTAGTTTCACGAATTTTGTCTTTGTGTGTGTTTGTTAATAATCGACTTTATTCTCGTTAATTTTAGTATTTCAAAATCCATTCCCTTCCTCCTTTTTAAGGCAATTAAAACCAATGTTGTGAAAAATATCGCTCTAATAAAATGCAAACTACTTGTCAAAATCAATTAAAATGTTCTTCTAAAAGGATGATATTCTAAGTTTACGGTAGATACGAAATTTTTCATTGGTTATACCTTCATCGTTGCTGTTAGCGAGTTTTGCTCGTCTTTTTTCAGCAACTTCATGCCGCGCAGGGCATCCATCGCTCTAACGAAAGCCATATATTCCACATACTGTATGTACACATCGAAATATATCCCTTCTTCGTAACTGAATTTATGAATATTGTTACCGAGGCGCATTCTAGACCTGTAAGGGTCTGCCGCGGGCACATCGACTCTTCTCAATGCGCCCCATTTCTTAAAGATCTTGACGATCAGTGACTCACTCGGAGTATTCGAATCGTCCTCAGTGAACCATTTAACGGGCAAGCCGGAAATGTGGATGGTGTCTGGCCTTTCGCCAGCTTTTAACTCGTTCATGTGCTTTGCGTCCCTGAAGTAGGAGTCCCAGTTGTGTCTGGTTGGAAAGTCGTCCTTTGTTTCTGCCGCACGGACCTTAATATTGAGTCACATAGCTCTTACACATTGTTATTTATACATGATGTATGCGGTTATCAATATACATCCATGGCATGAGCAACCATAGACGGCAAAGGTCATTTTGTCAAAATGAAATCAAGGTTGCGCAAAATAGTAAACCCTACTCGGTATTATGATACCTTGAGAACGCTTGTGAAGCCAGCTAGATTCAAGCGTTGCAAATCCAGCCTGGCCAGCACCCTTTGCAACCTGCATCGATCCCGCAGGTCGCCCTCCAGTCGGATAAACTCTAAAGTGCTCTTGGCCACTTTCAGGGAAACAAACTCGTCTGGCAGAATAAGCGCACGTATCTTCTCCATTACCTCCCATGTTGATATTGTCTTTCCTGTTTATAGCGCAGTTAATTTTCTGTAAGAAGCTATCTTTATGGGACGATCATTACAAGTGCTCGTGGCTTCGCACGGATCACTTGGGATTATTTTCTTCCATCAGTTGAACAATATGTAAATCCCTTGTTGGCAGAAATCGTCGAGTGCACAAGAGAGCAAGAATGCGACTGTGACAATGTGACAAACTCAATATATGGAGAGGAATTAATTTCATCTATTCAATGAATACCAAAGAAAATTAAATGAATCAATAATTGATGTGACAAGGACCTATTGACTAAGACTAATTTGAGCAATGCAGCCTGAAGAATATATTGCAACAAATCAGTAATGAATTTCACCTCCCTAAGACAAACCTAACGGATATGGCACAGCATGAAAAATTGCAATTAAAGCTTATCGAAATAATAAAAACATATACGTATGTACCTTACCATCAACTTGTTTTTACCAAGTTCCCTATTGCAGAGAATGTATATACACTATCTTTCTAAAGGAGAAAGATTATAGTGACAAAATTATATAAAATAACTACCCAAAATGTTATGAAATCTTTCCTCAAATAAACTATAGAGAATAACAAAAAATTTTGAGTTGGTACTTTAGAGTAGCGAGACCTTTTCTATAAGACAAATAAGTTATGTTTACCGCACTAAATAGAGAGAATGAGAAACCGATAAGAAGCAAAGAGAGGAAAATAAGAAATTATGACCCAACCTCTAAGGAGGAGGCCAATGATAGAGATGCCATATTACTAACGATGATATTTTACCTGGAGTTTTCAGTTGGGGTAGATTCACTGACACATTAACTTTGGCAAGTGGTTTCAGATAAAGTGCGCGCGGTGGATACAGCGACACGATGTCGCTCAGATCCCTACAGCTTCGAAATCGATTAGCAACCTCGCTACTAGAAGTTTCACCTACCTGCTTATCGTCATCCATCGTTATCGGCTAAATAAAAAAAAAAGACTACTACGGAGAAGACGCGTATTGACTTCTAATGACTCAATCGAACGACTCTCACTTTATGCTCCTCTCTTTGCATTTCTCTTACAAGCTGGCAAGATGAGAATGTCCCAGTAGGGAGGTTGCATTGCGCGAAGCTAGCGACTATCGTTCCGGTGTTGATGATGTCGCCGCGTTACACTCGCCGTCCGTCCAGTGGCAAACTCATGTGCATGCGGATCAACGAAGTATCATGGATAATCTTCGTGGACGATCTTCGATGCAGACACGAACATACTATTTATGCTTTCTCCTTCTTTGCGCGCGCGCACCGATGAGACCAAATCTTCGACAAAATGTGATATAGATAAGACCGGAAAAAAGCCTAAGGCCGATATTCATAGACTGGTATTCATAGTCCGGTCTTATATTTAAGATCGTCTTAAGTTCATCTTCAGATGCTACATAGATCATTTCATTGGCTACAGAATATCTGAACGTGAACTCAAGACGGTCTTAAATATAAGATCCGACTATGAATACGGCCCATAGTCGGATCTTTTAGGCCAGTATTCATAGCCGGATCTTATATTTAAGACCGTCTTAAGTTCATCTTTAGATGCTGTATAAATTACTTCATTGGCTACGGGGTATCTGAAGGTGAACTTAAGATGGTCTTGAATATAAGACGCGACTATGGCCGTGTTCCAAAATTCACTGCCAGTACTGAAAGTATATAGTTTGTGTCACGCAAATTATAACTTTTCAGCGCTGGCAGTGAATTTTGGAACATGGCCTATGAATACCTAGATCGGATCTTCAAGATCGTCTTAAGTTCATCTCCAAATGCTGTATGATTATTTTATTAGCTACGGGATATCTGAAGATGAACTTAAAACGATCTTCAATATAAGACCTAACTATGAATACGGCCTAAAAGCGAGCGTCCCGTAAAAGTCCCAAAGAATGCACTTTCCAACGTGCAACTGAGTTTCTAACTGAGAGAAAGCATTTAAACCACGTCTGTTGAGTGCATTTTTCGATGATGATGGTACAGTCGCTTGGTTCGTATCTACACTACTTCGATGCAATAGCAAGTGAAGAAAGGACAAATATATCGCTCTGTTCTTGTCTTATCGTTTACGAATAGACCACACAGAGATAAGCATTATCACGAAGCTTATCTCAACCGTTTCATGTCCACTACTGTATAATCCATTCGTAAGTAGTCAGACAAGGATACAACAGTTGTCTGTCTTTTCCTGACTTGCCATCATTTTATCGAAGTATGGACACAAACCACATGATTTTACCGTTACCACTGAAAAATGCATTCAACGAAGGTAGTTTAAACATACTCTCGAATAGGGAGCGCGCGCGTCGGAAAGTGCATTCTCCCTCACGGAATGCCCGTTCTTTCCAATCTTCGTTAACTCAACTGGCGGCTGGTTTCAACGGAACTGACCAATTGCATTTGTCGTTAAATAGAGCTGACAAATTCGATTGGTTAAATTAACCACAGCTGGTAGAAACAAGCATGATACAATTTTAGCAACTACTTTCGTATTATTCGGATGTAGTGTTGCCATGTTATCTTTATACTCAAGAACTTTTGTTTTTACAAAATTTTTCGGGAAAATTGAGGGAATGTTCATGAGAGAAATTTAAAATATCAAAGAACTCATCTAGGAAATTGTACTTATAGAATTATAGAACTATTAGACTTATAGAATTGAATTGTACCAGTTTATTTATTTTAGTACCAGTTTAGATATATTTAAACGCGTGCCCTTATTTTATCCACAAGAAATGAAAATGAACTCTATCATACTTCTAATCTATCAGAAGATTGGCTTGGATTGTTTCTTGCTTTTTTTACCTCAAGCTTCTGTGATAGTTTATTTAATTGCTACATTGAGCATCACCTGTGCCTCTTTTCACGCACACAAATTTTGTATTCCTCTCTTTTACTATTATCTCAATTTCGTTATAAAATGTGTTAATTTCTCATTAATATGCAACAATAGCAACATTTAGTTTTTTCTTCCTTATATCATGGATCATAAAATATTATGATAATTCTTCTAAAATCTTCTAAAAAAGCAATGCTGAGAGCGCCGCTTGCTGAATGCTAATGCACTATATATTGAATAAAGGAGGGTCTTCGAGGAATAATGGGTCAGATAAAAGCATGAATAAGAACGTACTTCCATATTCTGTCAGGTTGCATTGCTTTTTGCTCTACCAATTTCTTGTGGCCTAATGTTATTTTTGTATTTATGAGTATTTCATCGTCGTTTGGCATTACTCCTCTGCTAACACAAGGCTTTAACTAAGGGTCTGTTCTTTATAGCTGAACTACTGAACTAGTGCAATAAGTTAAAATGAGACAACTATATTCTTTCTCATTCTAACTTACTGCACTAGTTCGGCAGTGCAACTATAAAGAACAGACCATAGGATTACTGACAATGGTCCTGAAACTAAAATTCTCATTGGCTGGCGACCAGCGCCCGAGAGAACATTAACGGCGCCATTTGTTTGGACGCGCTACGGAGTTGCTCCGTGTTGAAGGAGGGCTTCGCGAGAGAAAGGATCAGGTGGGATCAGAGATATGCTCAGAAGACAGCGCGACTATGAGCTGATTCCCAATTGAGGCACTCGAAGATCATGCTGCGAGGAACAATCACCATCGCTTTGCGAATCAATAGGGACGCGCAACCACCTCGGTCTAACGGCCTTTGAACACTGGGTCTATCCCCCGATCCCGAGGAAAGGAAGACGTCAACGAGCGGGCTAGGATGTCTTTGAGCGCCAGCGCAGAGAATTTGACGTCCGACGGACAAGTGAGTGAATCGAAGCGAGTGTAACCGCCGACGAAGATGATTCTCCCACGCGTGACTCACGCTCACTTCCCGCTGCCACACCTGTTTCTTCATACTAGTCACGTTTTGTGTATCCGTTTATCCTGCTCTTGCATGGTGTAACTTGTACTCCGGAACAGGTTTACACTCGACCCATGACATTTCACTTCACTAACTTGGTCGAACGATCATGGATTTCACACTTTCGTGCATGTTTAATTGTCCTCAAGATGCGGAGAAACTTTGGTCATTGATGTCAAATTGATGTTCTCCAGCGAGCTTTGTTATGTTTGATGAATGGCCCATTCTGTCCATGTGGGATGGACACAACAGAAGCTTTCATTCATTGCTCTTTTATCTCTTATCTTGTCACTTTTTTTGCCATCACTATATTGACTTCCTCTGCATTCAATGAGAATAAAATGTCATGCTTGATATTTCTCCTGTCTTATATCCTTAATTTTATGAATCTCTCCTATTCTTATGATGTCACACACTTGTAGCACAAAATAAAAATAAAAATTTTATTCATTTTGCGTACTTCATTTGTATCTTCAATATGAAAAAGCCACAAACCAGCATATTAATCATTAAATGCGGAAAATATAGATAACCATTTGGCACTTTTAACAAAAAAATTATTCAGAATTCCAACTCTAATCTAGTTTAACCTCTCTAATATTTCTCAAATAATTTAATAAATTTATCTCCATGTTGTAATAAGTTTATGACAACACCCGATTAATTTGTGGATGGTTTTACATACAGAATATTTCAATACGATATTTTGCAATGCTTAACAGAATAGCGAGAGATGGAATATGTGCCTGGAATTAGCACTGGAGGGTGAACGCCTGTGCAAAGCCGGCGACTGCAAGACCGGCGTAGCGTTCTTTCAAGCTGCGATCCAGGCTGGCACGGACGATCTGCGGACGTTAAGCGCAATTTACAGCCAATTGGGCAATGCGTACTTTTACCTAGGTGACTATGTCAAGGCGATGCAATATCACAAGTTAGATCTGACACTTGCCAGAAACATGGGTGACAAGTTAGGTGAAGCTAAGTCCAGCGGAAATTTGGGCAACACATTGAAAGTTATGGGCAAATTTGACGAAGCTATGATATGCTGCAAGAGGCATCTGGAGATCTCCAGAGAGATCGGGGATAAGGTATATCTTGCCGATAGATTAATAGAAAAGAGAAATATAAAAGTATTCTCTAAAATTATACTCTTGATTATACTCTTTGCAAATTAATCATCTCTCTTATCAGTTCCTACAATTTTCCTTTTTGGAGATATCTCTTACTTTCCATTTATTTTAAATGGTACATTTGTCACTTATTTCTGATTTCATGCAGCTTAGCGAAGGAAGAGCCCTTTACAATCTGGGGAATGTCTATCATGCCAAGGGTAAGCAAGCCAGTAGGATAGGTCATCAGGATCCTGGAGAATTCCCCGAGGATGTTCGACAGTGTTTGATGCAGGCTGTGCGCTATTATGAGTAAGAGCTCATCTCTGATTGAATGCTGTTGATTAACTCCTAAATTTGTTCTATCAACGTCGAGTGACATACTCGCATACAGAGGCACGATTATGTTCCTTTTTTATTTCCATTTCACAGAGACAATTTAGAGCTGATGAGAGAACTGGAAGATTCCGCAGCGCAAGGTAGAGCGTGCGGTAACTTGGGCAATACGTTTTACTTATTGGGCGACTTCCAGCAGGCCATTTATTACCACAATGAACGTTTAAAAATCGCCAGAGAGTTCTGCGACAAGCCGGCCGAGAGGAGAGCCAACAGCAATTTAGGAAACTCCCACATATTTCTGGGCGAGTTCGAGATAGCCGCGCAGCATTACAAGTAAATCTCACAGTTTTATTGACTTCAATGTGTCGCGTTAATTGGAATTATCGGTTACAGCACGATGTTTAGTTCTCACTAATTTCTCACAAATCGCTGATACGAATTTTCACTCGATTTCCAGAAGAACTTTAGTCCTCGCGCAGGAATTGGGTGATCGCGAAGTAGAGGCGCAGGCATGCTACTCTTTGGGCAACACGTACACTTTGCTACGCGACTATCCGGCGGCCATCGAATATCATCTGTGGCACTTGGGCATAGCCCAGCAACTGAAGGACCGCGTCGGCGAAGGACGCGCCTGCTGGTCATTGGGTAACGCGTACGCCGCGATGGGTAATCACGAGAAAGCGTTGCACTACGCGAATTTGCACCTGCACATCTCGAAGGAGTTGGAGGATCAAATGGGTCAAGCCACCGCGCAGATGAACGTGGACGACCTGCAGAAGATCCTCGGTCTAGAGAAGAGCCAACAGGAGAGCAACAAGGAGAATCTCAACACGCAACAGAAAGTAGCCGCGAACGCAACGTCGAACATCTCGACAGCCACACCCTACAGATACAGACTCAGGCGACAAAGTATGGACAACTTGGATCTCATCAAGGTTCGTGATTTTAAATCTCCTTTGGTTGAACATTCACAACAATTGTTCTCTTTTTTTTTACTTCGCTAAGTTAATGAAACTGACGAATGAGCGTCCGTTGTTTGATCAGCTTACACCCGACATCAAACAAAAGGAACAATCGGAAGACCTATTGCACAAAAGCGACAGTATCGAGTCGCAACCGTCTCAGAAGGAAGAAGACAATTTCTTCGATCTCCTGTCTCGGTTTCAATCGGGCAGAATGGACGACCAACGTTGTGCGCTCAATACGAAGCACAACCCAAAATACCGGACAATCACACCAGATGCGTCCGACATGGAGGATAAGTAAGTGATAATATTAATTCGACTCTTGAAAGATGAATAGTCGACCGCTCTCGCTCGTTACCACCATATATGGTGTTTAATCTCCATGACCATCGAACATTGGACAACATTATTGTGCAGAGATGGAGAAGACTTGCTGGAATTAATCGCCGGGATGCAAAGCAAGCGGATGGACGAGCAACGAGTGACATTACCCTACCTGCCAGGACTGAATACCAATCAGGACGCGGACGATTCTTTTATCGAGATGCTTCTTAAATGTCAGGTACACGCGGAAACCACTGCATTATTGCATCTCAAAACTCGGATGTGCTCCCTACCGTCGGAGAAAAGCCTAATGAGCCCAAAAAAATTGCACATTTCAGAGTTCGCGTTTGGAAGATCAACGGAGTCCCCTACCGGCCGCATCGACGTTGCAAGATGGCGAAGAAGAAAGAGGTCGAAGGACCAACGGAAACGCTCAATCGGGCTCCACCGTGCCCGAGGAGGATCTTTTCGCCCTGATCCAAAGACTTCAAGCTGGACGCATGGAAGATCAAAGGGCTTCCGGTCCTGGCAAAGCGTGCTAGACTCACAGACAGTGACTTAATGCTAAGTCATCATGATACGTTCCACTCACTCACTGAATTTTATCGCCTTACGTACTCCCGACTTACCGATTTCTTCATCGATCCGTCATTCGTCGTTGCGCGATGCTATTTTCTTGATTACTTAATAGAAAATCAAAGGCTGGTAATATCTGAACGGTTCCTGTGGCATAAACAATTACTATATTCTGGTTCCAATTCAGACAAGCGACGACTCGAAATACCTGATTGCAGGAATCAATCATGACGTCAGAAAACAAGAATATTTAAAGAGTCAAAAGAATCAGCACAATATTTATCATGAAAATAGTCGAGAAACTTTTGGAACGAAGAATTTCATTAGTCGCCTTATTATGAATATTCGAATATATAAGAAAACGTCAGAGAATATCTTATTTCTTATCTTTCTCTTTCTTCTTCCTCAATCTCAAAGTGATGGAAAGCATCGAACAAAAAAGTGAACTGATTTTTGCATTCAGGTTTTCGATTCCGTTCAGATACACTTAATTATATATTCACATAGATGTGGGCTATATCTACAGTGGAGAACAATCGATATTCTCGTAACATTCAGAATATTGATACTCAATATTCCAAAGTTGTTCGATCACTAGAAGTCAGTCATTAAAGCACTAAGATGCTATACCGTATAGATTCTTTAATAATAAATCACTTTAGTAACGCAGGACCGTTGTTACCGTCGGGATGGATCGAAGTCCTTAGAAAGCCGGTGGTTCAGTGAATAAAACCTTCCGGAATCCTCCAAGTTTTGTAGAAGTACATGTATTTAATGGGAGCGATTACACGCTTATAACGAGACACTTTCATCCGCGCCTCGCTCGTCTACCAGCACGGGCAGATTATAAAATAATATTAAACACTAGTGACTCTTACGTCTAAGAGAATAGTGACGTATGCGGAAAGTGTGCTAACGAGTGAGAGTATCTTACCGTAGATTTGAGCGAGCAATCGGAAATCGTGCGATGCTCACGTGTGCGAGCAAAGTCCAAGTCCCCGCGCGAATTCTTTGTAGCGCGGTGCATTAACTCGCAGTCTGATTACCGATCGCTCATTCCGATCCGCTGAGTGACTTATTATTCAAGAATACATACGGCGAAAATTAATGTAGCATTTTAGGGCTAGAGCACGCAGTCGTACGAAAGCATTGCGGAACAGTACGATAATGAGCAACATTTTAGTTGTCCGTCTAGTAATAATAACTGCCGTTATAGGTCTTTGGCTATTCGGTCAAATGAACTACCACCACTGAGTGATTGGTAGATACGGGCTACGTTCGATAAAATTAGTTGTTTGTCAAACGTAAATAAATCGCGACTGTTGAGTGAATAGTGCAAACTTTTGCAGACTGACGACTTCGTGATTCATGTGACAAGCCAGTAGTTGTAGCACCGGGGTTAGTATTATATTGAGAACTTCATGATATCGGTTTTGTGCAGAGCTACAATTGCGCATGCAAAAACACGTTTCACAAACACTGCCAGTTCGAGGATATGAATTCTTTTCAGACAGTTTGGTCGCAGTAAACGTCGGAGGCCCCTTAATATTTACTTCCGCGTTCTCTCACAAGAGCGTATTCTCATTATTTTATACATATATACATATATATATATTTTTGGTGCATACTTCGATTTACTTCTCCACAAGGAAAAGTGGGATTATTTTTTTAAAGAATATTACGTGTAGATATTATACAATGGATGAGAGAGAGAGAGAGAGAGAGAGAGAGAGAGAGAGAGAGAGAGAGAGAGAGAGAGAGAGAAGGGGAGAGGAAGTATCCGTGAAACTCGTAACGAATATCAGTGCCAAAGATTCTCGATATGCTAAAAAAAAAAGGACACTGTAAAAGAGCAAAAACAGAAAGATGCCTATTGAAAGAATCTCTATTCGTCGTTGTGATTAATATTGTTTCTGTAAAACTTTATTCTTATCATAACGAAACAATCGACGAAGATTATGATGGTTATGCTGTTTGAAGTTGGCAAAATCTTGTAAAACTCATCGCATTCATCATTTTCACAAGGCAGAATATTATTGAAACAATTTTCTCTGTAAAGTATTTCCTTATTCTATCCTAGCTAATTATGGAAGAGATTCCCGAGAAATGTTATTTTTTCTGTAATTTGACGGTTTTTATCTATTAAAATACTAACAGACGACTCGCTTACGGACCTAAATCAGGCTGACCAGCCGATCAAATGTACAAACATGAAGGATGTAGCTATCTGTTTTAACGGTCAAACGTTTATATTAATTAAGTATTCCTGTCACAACATTGAGATGTTGACTTAGCGACGAACCGAATTGCAACGACGTTGTTATTTACGCTAAAAAGAAAAGTACTATCTCTAATGTACATGAGGAATAAGTTGATAATTGGTTCAACAAGAGTGCAAGAATAGAAATATACTAATTACCAAATAGATTGCTGAATATCTTTTGCTATATATTGTTATGACATTATGATTACGATCAACTGTATATACATAAGTAGCCTTGATTTCTTCGAAGAGCCAGGAATATCGCTGAGACGAGATTAAATAACAAATCAATTATGCTGATCGTAGACTTTTCGTAGGAAATTTACCATTATATATTTTCTAGGATATTTTAGATTATACAATTATTTTTTTTAGCTTATACCTTTTGTGAGAAGCTCTCGTTACGGTAGACATAGGTATTAACAGCATAGATTCTCCACACTAATCAAATTGTTATTCTTATTTTGCAATTCTGTACGAAAATATAAATACATTCCACATTCTGTCCATATTATAATGTATAATATACAGATAAATCAATAAATGTATACTTTTTTCAGAACGGACGTTAAATATCCAGCCTTTCACCCCCTCTAGATACTTCTCTATCCTATGAATATATCGCTTTTCTTTCCTCTTGAAATATTTCCCGCAATATGTCAGAAGGATCAAAGAGCTTTTTCACCGCTGAAAGTAATCATCACTACGCCGCAAATACGTCGTGGCCGGAGTGGAAAGATGCCGATATAAACAACGAGAAGTGGGAAACTCTTAAAGATGAGTTATTCCTGGATGCTGAACCTGTCAAGATGCCGCAATCCTTAGAACCTTATCAATGGATACGAGCGAAGGACTTAGAGTATATGACTGTACTTTTACTACTGTTTTAATTATAAGCTTCAGATCGAATGTTTTTGCATATTAATCTCTTATATTCGCCGAATTTAAACCAAATTTAACGGAGGGCGGGGGGGGGGTTACTTTAGAATTCTGACGTTGCACGCATCGGTCGATGAATATCCTGATTTAATCTCGAACAATACGCATTTGCTTCACAGTGAGGTATTTATTTCACTCTAATTCTATGTAAAATCCATCAAACTGTAAATTGCTATAATGTGCGATAATAATAAATAAGAAATAATAATAATAATTTCTAGTTTGTGAGATGCTTTATTTCTGCACTGGCAAACTTGCACTATTGCGGCCGGCAAGGGTTGGAAATCAGCGGGGAGGGCTCGAATTTCGCTTGGATCGGTCGCCATGAACCTTGGCATGGTGTGATGCACGTATATTCTTTGAACAAGGCAGGAAAAGGTGTTGAACATCGACCCGCGCTAAACCCAAACGGTGGCCAATATATCAAATTTTATAAAACCTGCTTCAATGTTATTCTCATAGAAAAATTGTTAAATCTTACCTCGAGCCTCGAGCTGTATCGATAATTAATTAAAATATATTTCTCTTTAATTAATTCTCGTAATTAAATCGATTAATATATAGGGGTCCGCGCGTGATCCCGATCAATGTAACGAACAATACGCGGCAATATTTTTCAGGCAAGTACATCGTGAGATTATATCACATGGGATGCTGGCGTCGTATCGCGGTGGACGATATTATACCCATCGATCAGAATGGCACATCACTTTTGCCGCGTACGTCCAACAACACAGAGCTATGGCCGATGCTTCTGGCCAAAGCATTGCTGAAAATTGCCTCGCTCACCTGGACTGAACGACGTGAAATCGTCGACTTTCATCCAATTTCTTGTCTAACAGGTGGATACCATTCCTGCCTTTATCATTTTATAATTTCATTTTTTCTACTATGTATGGAAAAAATATTTTCTTTTTTTCTGAAATTTGTTAATTCCCAATTCTCTACGAAAAATCTACGAACTATCGTCCACAAATTACGAGATCACGTTGATTGATCCTGTTGAGCTTTTCGAGAATTCTATATCTACTACTTTATCTTTCCCCCATTATACACTTGGATAATATAGAAGCTTAAAATGATAATGCAGGCTGGACCTGCCTGACATTAAACATCGCGCATTTATCGTGGCAAGATAAGTGGGACTTCCTGACCAAGTATTGCGATCATTTTGTGTGGTCACCACGAACCGTCGAGGGTCACGTTCTAGGTCTGACCGTACCGAATGTATTTATTCACACGAACGTAATTGCCGACAGCTTGTTTAACGCGACGTTATATCTGTTTGCATTTCCAAACAGAAAGCTCTGAGAGTATTATAAACAACAATACGGCGAAACCGAACAAAACTCTGCGGCTACTCAGCCAAGCCGGGAAACCTCAACCGATCACGTTGTTTCTCCAGTTGGGCGACATGCGAAAACTCGGAAATGATGCAGTGCCTGGTCTATCGCCGTGCTGGGATCATGTGATCCATGTTGTCCAATCACGCGATATTCCTCTGAATCCCAAAGATGTGAGCAACAAATTTCAGATTTGTTCAATCATCTTTCTCTAAAGATAAATTCTTTGCGTACTGAATAAAAAAGTCACAGTCCTGTGATATATAACTTGTCCCAAGTGAGGTAAAAGTCTAAAAAATTACACACATATATACACACATTTTATATACACACATATAACATATATATATATATATATATATATATATATATATACATTTTTTAGCAAAGGTCTAAAAGTACTTCACGTACTTTTGTCTAGACTTTATGACTGACTCAAAATTAAATTATGTTCCAAGGTAAAACCACCATTGGAAAGATGGAAATTACATCGCTGGTTAAAATGGGCTACTTCGCGGGGTATAATCGATCCTGCTGATTACTTCGTCCCAATCCGTTATTTGAGAGTGATTAGTCCCTTGAAAAAATACAATGAAAGTCTTACTTATATTCACAATGATGTTGGAAATAATTCAATCCTTCCAAGCGAAATCGAACAGTCTGACAAAGTCAAGTTGAAAACAAAGTCTCGGAACGCGAAGAATTTGCTCACCACAACGAAAAATAAGGAAACTGACATCAGTCGATGGGTTGACTTCAATAAGATGGCACCGTACGTGACGGAAGTGCATATTTTTTATAAACTGGAATATTTTCAGCGCTCGTTTCAAGTAACAAATGAAGCGATAAAACTCAACAAGGATCATAAAGCAACCGCCATAAATGAGATGAAAAAGGAGAGAGAAGGTATTCCAAGCTTATTTCGATATTACCTGCGAATCCGATCAAAACCCTTTCCCTCCACTCTCTTATTCTTTGGAAATTTGCAGACGAAAACGTCAGGTCTCACAAAATTCAGAAATCCAGATACGAACCTCTGTATTTGTTCTGTGACTCCCCGGAGGAGAAATTCTTCCTTGTCAATCTTTGCGCTACGCCAAACAAGAAAGATTACTTCATCCTGGAAAGGCACAACTGGTTCTTCGGACCGAATCAATCGGATCAATTGGCGACTATCTGCACAACCGGCAGCAAGTCAACCGTCATAGAACTGGAAGCTGGAAGACAACTGTTGCGAATTGACGCCAGTCCGGAGTTTGGCTTGGCGACTATCTCTTCTGACACGGCATTTCATCTTGGAAGTCACGCGACTGTACAACAGCTGATGACTACGGAATCGAACAGAACCGAGCAACTGTCGAAGATAATCAGCCACAGTCTATGCGAAGCTTATCGATCATTTGGAACTGAGAATCACCCGATAATGTTGAGGAACTATTATCAAAGTTACATGCCCAGTTTGCCAAGTGAAACTTCGGGAAAAGACAAGAAGTTTCTTCGAATGTTGATACACAGTTTCTTCATGGAAGAACAAGTTCGACTGATCATGGAAGCCTTTGCCGATAAAGAACGTGAAAGGATTCTTCATTCTTTGAGGGTGTTCTTTCTGAATCCAGATATTAGACGAGAATATTTCGATTCCACACGAGGTCAAAGTAACTTTCAGAGCTTCACAACAGAACAGACATCGAAAATACCGTACTCTCACAAATTAAACAGAGAGGCACTGAATCAAGCAGCCACAAAAATTAAATCCTTCTTCAAAACGGCTCTTATAAAACAATATAAATCCCTTCACAATTCTCATCACGCTCAGCACGCGCAAATTCGCGAGGAACTTCGGAAGATATCCGATCTATTCGACTTATCCGTGACAAGTCAATTGCTGAGGAATATTATCAAACGTTACGACAAACTGCGGGACTTGTATCCTTGTTCTAAAGACTTCGTACATGTTCTAAATTTTCAAGAATTCAAGGGTGCTTTAGAGAACGTCAAACATGACCAATGGTTCCCCATCGCTAGGATTATTGTGAGTCCTAAATCTTCCGAAACAGTACTCGCGGCTTTCGAGCTACTAGTCGATATTCCTCGTTTTACACTACGTGTCTTCAACAACCGGAATCAACGTGAAATGACGCGTCTCATAAGCCACGTGACTCCAGGTTGTTATAGATATCATCCAACTGGTTATACGGTATTCGCTTATGGCTGGAACGACAAACGGCGCCTCAAAGAGCTCAACTGGACAATTCGCATCGTTACTATGAAAGGAGAGCCGGTATTCTATCAACTGAACGAACAATGGTTCCCATCCTTGGAAACTAAACCACCCAATCTGGTGGTCGAAAAATTGGCCGCAATATACATTCCGAATGCCAAAAACTATATTTCGCGCTGGATCTTGCGAGCAATATCGGGAAGTATCGTTTCTATGAGATTGACAACATCCTACGACATGGTGAAAACCAGAATGAAACTCATCGATAATGAGGGCAACGTCTTAATTAACATGGACGGCGGTTCTACGATCTTGTTACCATCGGTGATTTTAGATCAAGCCGCTGCGAATCAAAATCGTCACGAAATCGAAACTGGAAACGCAGACGTTAACGAAAAGTTAACGTCTGCGTTTCCAGAGAACGCAGCGAAAACGAAGAAATTATACTACGTGGAAGCATTTGTGCGTAACGAAAGCTGGCCTCTCACGGATGTTGAGTGGACTGTCGTGAATCAGACGAAGATAAATAACACAGAAAACTTTAAAACAAAGATACAATCTGATAATAAAAGATCGTCAACGTCAAACTTGGTGACGGCGAGAAAGGACACGAAGCAAGCTGTAAATGATAATCAAGTCTTGGAGACACCGTACTGGATACTTCAAGTTGTCACAGACGATAGAAACGCGATAGAGGTATGTATAATTTGTCATATACTCGTGTCGATTCGAATAACAAAAGTTATTTCATTAAAAAGTTGTTGGGGAGAGAAGAGGAGAGTGTTTTCCTCCTCTTTCCAGAAAGACTTAGAGGATTTATTGCGGATATATCGAGGATATGCTAGATTGTTTTTTTCCGGTGAAGTCAGGATTATTTTCGGACTAGGTTCGGATTCTTTGGTAGTCAACTTGAAAACTTAGCTTCGAAAGGAAGACAGAGTTGGAAGCAGCATTGGATCGCAGATTTGCTTCCAAACCTTACCGAAAAAATTATTCGGAGGACTCGGTGCCAAAGGGGATATCACGCGGGGTGGTGGGAGGAAAGTTGGAGAAGTTGCTCTCCTGATTCTGATATCCTGCTTGGACAGTAGATAGCACGGAGGTCTCGTAATTCTCGGAGGAGAAAGATCTATGGGGATTAATTTCCAATTACCAAAATGGTAATGATTCCCCGAGATATTTATACCTTCGACCGTAGCTCTAAACATCTCTACTCTGTACCAAGTCAGTTATCTCCAAGGCGAGAGGACTCTTTCCCTATCCTCCGTTCGATGAACACGCTTCTCTTTGAAGGATCCAACTCGTAGTTTGATCTGTGAGAATTGTCTACAAAGAACGCGCCATCTAACGAGCGTTGCAGTTACTAGTTACGTAGGCTAGGCCCTCGCACTTCTTACGTGTCGGAGAAAGCAATGTAGCTCGTCGCCAAGTTAAAATAATTTTTAATATTAATTCTTATGAAAATGTTATTTTGCGCAAGTCTTTTCTATTTTTAATTACCAAGAATTGTATCATACTCGTATTCAGTATGTCGACATGTCTTCATCAGATTTGTCAAGACAAAAGAAGAGAACATGAAATAGCATTGTTGAAGGAGTCTTGGTGGTTGAACGATCCAACACGATCTGAACGTGGAAGAAAGCTTCGAGAATCTTTTCTGAACACGCATTTGAAAACTGAAGACGTGATATTTCCAGAACAAAATGAAAAATCTATTGGAGCAGAAACTGAAGATACGGCATTTTGTCAATCACATGAGAAGCGACGAAGAACTCTAAAGTCACCCGAATCTTACCGCTTACCTACTTTGGATTTGACGAAATATATGACGAGAGACGAGGTCGTGACGGATTATTACATAAAAATGGAAAGCGACTATCAGATATGGAGAGAACAGCATATTATCAACATCGTCAACAGTCAAAAGAATCATTCCCTCTACTTGGAGAATTTAGATAAAGTGATGAGCAAGCAAGTTCGAAGATATGCAAAGCTGTTCAGCAAGAAAGAAGAGAGCTTCTGGAAGAGAAGAGCTCTGGTGGACGATGTTTACGAATCAAGAAAAGTTTACACTGATAATTTGATATCTCCGAAAGCGAAAGTCAAAAAGGAACAAAATGACAAATTGAATTCTAATTTTGTGGAATGACAGATAAATATACAATTATTTGTCCGTTATTATATTGCTTCTTATCAAGTAACATGTATTAAACATAACGAAAAGCGCACACGATTGTCGTAATTAATTAATAGGAAATTGAAATAAACCGTTAACTAAACGCTGCTAACTAACTAAACATTATAAGAAAAGATGCGCGTATTTTCAATCAAAGTCGATAAAATATCACGAAAGTTGTTTTTGCGAGAGTGCTGTGCTCCGAAGAGAGCTATACTTGCTTCGCGCGTTGATGACTGTCTACGATCTACCTTTTAATGACGCCTCCCTGATCATCCAAGAAAGAAATAACGGCGACCCGTCTATTTTTCATTCGGGACCAGTCCACGCGGTCTAGTAAGATTATTATGGGACTACGAGAGAGGTCTAGACTAAGTGCCCCAAGGTGTACAGTGTCCGCAATAAACGGCTACCGATATTGTGATATTCTGTCATTCTTGCGAAAATAACTGCTAGTTCAGCTGGGAAAGCCGAAAAACGACATTGACAAATTCGCACTTTCGAAGCTGAAGCTTCGATTTTGGACTTTGTACTTCAAGTTTTCCACTCTGATTCTGAGTTTAATCTCGACTTGAATTTTCTGACTTTCTCTTCGGTCTAAACTAAAGTTTAGACTTCGGTAAATCTCGATTTCCGCTTCACCGCCAAGTCCGTATTCATTTCTACGGTTTAACGGTACGGTCAATCTCATAATTCGCTTTCGGCTCAAATAAACCGAGCTTCCTGACTAAAATAAACCGAGCCGTCTATCGTACACATTGTACACCGCGGCAGGCTACACGTTGATTGCAGGTGCAGCTGTTGCCGCACTCGCGATCGACGGTAGCCGAGCCAGCAATCACTGTCGATTATGTTTGTGTTAGACAATCCCTGTCGCACGACGAATTACGATCATCGTCGAGCGTGCATACCTGCATCGTATCGATACGATGAATAATACAGTGCAAAAGTACTTCCGAGCGCACAACTCTAGAAGATAACTTCAATTCTTCATCGCGAAGCGACATCCTATCGTGAAATAGTATATGCGCTGATATCCGACACGACGTCGAACCCATCAAGGTGAGTCTCTCTACTTTATACATGCCGAAAAAAGCGCTCGATTTCAGGATAACCCAAGAGGAGCGAGTAGCAGCGTCCTTGACATGCCTCGTTTACCGCCAGGAATTCGCATAAGAAAAGTCGAATTAAAACTCCTTCCCTAGTTGCTTACTAACGACGACGTGCGGCAAACTGCATTCTTCGGTCACCCTTGTTATTTGCGTACGAACAAACATCCATTAAAAACAGCACGTGGTGATTGTATCGCGCACAAAGTAGGTACGGGTAGGTATTGTTTTAATGTTTTCCAAATTATTATTAATGAAAGCCACGGAGCTTCACCGGCGACGTAGCTTTTTCAAGTAAAAATACGGAGTCGCGAGTTGAGGCACTGTCGCGTGCCGTACCGGCATGATATATCGTATTTATGGACGCGAGGCCAGAAGCTGAAACCACGTGGGTGCGAAACGCATGATCGCTACGAGAGACGACAGCTCGCTGAGAGATTCCGTGGATGCAGAATGCGAGTGGGGAGCGATTTTACGAGGCGTTTTATCAGGCATCTCTCGGTCTCTCGGCTTGCGCTCGAGTCATCCCGGCATACCGAGTCGCGCTCGGATACGCTTTATGCGTCCCTATTAGCTGCGTATATCTCATCTCTCTCTCTGGGTCTCCTTCCTCGGCATACATGTACTTGTACGCGTGCATGCCCGTACACGCTACTCCGTCGTCGTGTTCCCACCCGCATCATCTAGACCCGACCTGAAAACCCTGAAGGGTTGCGCTGGGTGTCGTCAACGACAACGACAATGACGATTACGTAACGCCGATGAAAAGGATACCCACGTCCCGATGGTCATGCTTCATCATTTTATTTCAAATTTCTCTCAACATATTTGCGCCAGCTTGAATTCTCTTCGAAAGTTGTTAATAATTCCGAAAGACTTGAATGTCCCTCGATATCCTTTTACTCTTTTTTTTTCCTCTGAAGGGTTATAACCGATTGACTAACAAATACGATTACGTAACGCCGACGAAAAGAACACCCAGCCGATGGACATGGTTCGTCATTTCAAATTTCTCTCAACATATTTGTGCCAGCTTGAATTCTCTTCGAAAGTTATTAACAATTCCGAGAGACTTGAATTTCTTTCGAAGTCCTCTTATTTTTTCTCCTCTGCCGAAGGGTTACAATCGATGGACTAACGAATACCAAGGATCGTTAAAGGATCGTCAAAAGGAATTAATAGCGGCAAGTAAATTAGCACAAGCAAAAGAGATTTAATCACTCGACTTCCGCTAATTTCACACAAATCGCGCGACTGATCGATCGTGCATCGGAGTGCATCCTTCCAGAGCATGTGCACGTGTGCGTGTTCGTGTCTTCGCACATGCGTAGTGTTGACAGTCAAGTAGAAGGGTTGGGCCCGTCGTCGTCGTCGTCGTCGTCGTCGTCTTAACTTAAAGAGGGAGAGAAGGAGATCGACGTGTTCTGTGGACCAGAGAAAGAGAAGAAAGACCGATAGAGGCAGAGAGCAGTAGATAAGGACGGTCAAAGATGTTGACGAGAGAGAATGAGAGAGAGTCCTACCAGATGAGTCTTCTCTTTGAGTTCACAATCTGCAGCTCCAGTCTCGCGCCGAGTCCCGTCGCGGCGCATCCTTTCGGGGTCCGTCTCCCTTTAAGACCGATCTGTCTTGAACGGGCCGAAGGATTTGATCACCGAGCGAGCCGTCGGAAAATCGGAAGTCGTCAAGGTGCTCGGGAATCGCGATGAAATTGGATCGCTTATGTTAATTTTCGATTGGTGACGTGGGATTTTTCATTGAGACCTTTACGTTGCTGCCTCCTGGATATTCCACCGAAGCGCTACTGTTCAACGAAGTCGAAACACCACGAAGAAATGAGCCTTATAAAACTTCGTCTTTCGAAAGCTTCTCTCCCACGCTGATAAAACTAATTATCAACAAACTAATTAACAGACTCCGAAATTCAATTGGAATCGTCGTATGCGAGAAATAGGCTCGTGTTAAATGAATTTAATCCACATGCGGAAAACGACAAGCATCGATCTTCGAGTAGTATTTCGAATCCAATGAACAGTAACGCACATTACTTCGTATTATCGAAACGCAGCGGATAGTTACAAAAGAGAACCCAGACTTCGAGGAAGAGTTCAAAGTTCCGAATCTTTTAAAACGACACGACCACACACGTCCGTGATCTTTTCTAATTTTATATGTTTTTTCCTAAGAAAGGAGGCGTCAAGATATACATGCTACTCGCTGCCACATCATCGATAGATATATCACAGATTATTCGCGGCGCGAACCAAGGAGATCACTAGATCAAGTGATAGATCCGGATCGAGACACGACCTGAAGAACGCTGACTCGAGCGAACGATTTTTCGAGGGTGATCTTTGATCTCGCAGCTCCCGGCTCGTTCATGCGTGATCGCGCGCGAAATAGAAGATCACAGCCGGACACAATTAATCGCGATATGTGCAATCGCCGATCGGCCCACGCGTGTGTCGCAGATCTGTTAGCGCGAAGTTATTTATGAGCTCGTGTTAGTTATGGAATAACGCTAAACCGCCGAAGGTACATAAGCAGGTACGTTTAAAAGTCCTTTCGGAGTCTTTCGATTTGTCGCAATCGGTATTTCGTCTCTCCGGTGAGAAAAATGAGATTCTTATTATTCCCAACAGACGAGACTGCTTCTTGTGTCAAAACGGACTGCAGCGGTCAATTCGAACAGTTTTGATCGAGAGTTTTCGATCCTCACTTTGCTCACAGTAGGACATGCGGATCAAGTCTAATACTTTTTGCTTCCCGCGAGAGTCGCGCAAGTTTATGGAACTTTAATAATAGGTTTCGTCGTTTCCCGCCTTTAGCGTTATGGTAACGAGAGAAAGTCGCACGATCGGTAAATTTGAGAGAAACGTCATTTCGGTCGAACACCTCTTTCTTCTTTCACGGACAACTATTTTAATTCGTTTTTCGTTTCCTAAGAAAAGAAAATCGCTAAAAATATTCAATCTTTCCGTAATATGTAATTGGAACGTTAAAAAATATTTGAATCGAATATTGAACAAATATTGCTGAAATAAAGAAGTACACAGTAATACGTCCAGTGACACGTCTATGAAACACATTTCTGAATTAATAAGAGAAAAAAATATATGTACCAGTTATCTTTTAAAAATTACATGTAACAGAATTCATATGATATTTAATTGTATGTACAGATATAAGGCATGAACATGTTTTAACGTATAGATAAATTATTTGCGAGAGCAGCGCGGAATTATAATCGTAAATTCTCGCCTCTCGTTCGGCAAAACGCCACTCGCGGTGGTGGATATTTATATCAGAAGATAGTTGCCTCTATCTCGTCGTACTAATTTGGCGCTTCCGGAAAGGCATCGCAGTCACCAGCGAATTATCGTTTGTTGCCTTTCTCGGCGCAAGTGTACGCGGCGAAACAGCGGGTAACGAGAAGAAGATGTGTACAAAAACTTCCCATCTAGCTGAAGGTTGCATGTAAATCGTACTTAACTGCTCGCGAGACTCCAGAGAGAAACAAAGATCAAAATTAATTCCAATAAGAAACGGACGGAGGGTTTTGCGCTGACTGGCGCGTTACAAGGGATATGAATATCCTTGTAGACGGTGGAATGATCGCGGCGACTTGGAAAAATCCCTCGAGATCGATCAAGGATCATGCGTGTTAGATGCGCGAGTATCGGCAAACCTGCGAGCTAAGAGGACAACCCAGGACAATCGAAGGAGAAATCGGATCAGGGACACGAGGCTGCGAGTTCTTTATGCAGGATGTCTGCATTGTTATTAGCAGCCTGGATCATCCTGGCATGTCGCTTTGTTCAGGATGGCGTAGCGACGGGGCAACGTTACACTCCGAGTCCTACCCAAGACTTGGACAACACCCTGCAATCAGTGGCACCCCTCGGGTGAGTATTCGGGTGGTACTAACGGCCGATTTCACAACGTCGTGAAACATTAACAGTCAATTTCCTGATTGATACGATCGTAAGATTAATACCACCACCGAGTATATTCCGGTTTACTGATACGGCTTGAGTAAGAATTTCGCGATCGGCAAGAATCGATATCGCAGTGGTTTCTCAAGAACGGCACGCTGTAACGACCGTGTTGCAAAATATCGAGATAATTGCACGCTAGAGAGGGGATATTGCAACAAAGTGTTCCTGTCCGAAAACACAGTTTTCGCCCGCGGTTTCACACCGAGCGAAATATCTGGCGGGTACATTTTTAGCGAAGGATCTTCCGAAGAAGAAGCGAGAGACCGCACGAAAAAAATTCTTTTGCCTAAAATAGTCGCAGATTCTTCTCGAATCGTTGGAATCCTCAAAATACGATGTCTCTTTTGATGTCCTTCAACCACCACCAGTCAATCACTTAAAACGGGTTAAATCGTCTCGTCGGAGAAGAGCTCGCGTAACAACCCGGTATTTTGCTAATAACGCGCTTCTGTCTAGAATCCGATGATTCTCTTGCAAGCGAGCACCGTCCTCGTGAGTTAAACGGTGCGATAACTCCTAATTGGGTTATCGGAGTGTTACGTTATACACAGCGTGTTGAATTCTGTCCAAGTCGCGCCTATTTTTCGTAACAAAAGTCAAGTTTTGCCGATAATATCTTGCACTTGCGCTATTTTTGCACGTACCGCCGCTTCTCAGTTCCGTCTACCGCAGATGTTTTCGCGATCGTGCCGAAAGCTAAGTGAGATAATAAACGGGGGATTAGCAGCACACACACACACACACATACACATCCATCGCGACCAATTGGCATTGGTATGCGCGCAATGACGGAAATACTATTCCGACTTTTCGCACGTATCAGTCGCGATTTATCAGGCGAATCTTGCCCAATTACCGAGCACTTCGAGGCAAGGCCTTCACTTACTTCCGAATCTCAAGCAGCAAACTGCTTGAGAGTCCCCAAGTTTCCAGAATCTCAAGTCGTAGAATTTCAACGGATTAATGTATCAGAAAATACAAGACTAACGAAGATTCGGGCAATATATTGTTACGTCCCAGTCCCAGTACAAGGCAACTTGCGTGTGCAACTGAGACTCACGTCATCTGCAAGTCATCGAGACATCTCAAATTCGAAGTTCGCAAAACACCAAAAAAAAAAAATTTCAAATCTCCCCCAAGTTTTAAGGCAGCATACGAGTTCATGGAAGTCGTAATATAAAATTCAAATCGTGCAAGTTACACAATTTATGCATACGCAAACACGTGTTACTTGAATGAAGATATTGTAATATATTAAAATATACGCTCCGACACACATACAAGTGCAAATTTCGAGCTAAATCTAAAGAGCCCGAGAAGAGCCCGCGAACTTACATATTTATGTAAACGGTTACAAGTCCGATCCGCGTGGGAATATCAGCAGACCTAGTTTCATGGAATAATCTAATGATTTCAACACTAATTTCCACTATTTCATTCGTTATAATGCGTCGCGCCGCGACTGGGATGGATAGTCTAATCGGGTCTCACAAAGACTCGAACAGAAATTAAGCCGCTCGTGTATCAAGTGGCGTTAAAACACGGTCGCGGAATTACTCAATCGATACGATGCCCCACATTATTGAATTACAGCCATTGAGACGAGAATCGTCTCTCTCGCGCGTAAGCAGCGATTGCAAGCAGCGAAATGTGTCGCGGATGTTAGACGTTACAATCACTCGCTGCTACGCCGGAATATGAATAAATTCGCCTCGCGCCATTATCTTTACATTTAGAGGAATACAAACGATAAATGACAAAGTTCAGCGATTGTAGGGCATCAGTTATCAGCGTAGTTTGCTGATTACGCAATTTTACAGTTCGTGTACATCGTGTGTCCGTTAAACGCCTTGCGACGAACATCTCTCCATTCCGGTCTTGCACCTTTGCAACATCATTAAATTGCGCTTAACGACCAACAATCTCACGAAGTTTTGAGCAGCCCGTTCAAGAGCTCCGGTTAGAACAATTGCCGATGACTCGACTCAACAATGCAAACATCGGAGGAGTCGCGCGTCTTTCGTACGATGTCTCTCGTACCCTTGAAATCCTCTCTTGCACCTTCGGTCATGTCGCAACGGTCCGTTGTCCGAGAGTTAAATTAAATTAGAACGGGAAATCCGGACGCCGAGATACGTAAAAATGCGAGATACTACCGGCCGGCCGTATAAACTTTTACGGCTCTCGCGCGACCGTCGAAAGACGCTCGTTCGGCGCGAGCGTCTCTCCTTCTCTTCCGCGCGGGAATTGCAGCTGCATTATCTGCCGCGTTGATAAAACGCGCGTCTCCACGTTAATTAATTAGCGCGGTGGAATGCGGACGAGCGGGCGCGATAAGCGCGCGCTACCTCGGAATATGAAGTGCATTCTGCTGCGTTTTTATCGACTCCGCGAGATGACCCGTTCATCGCCATCCGGTTTATACGTCTATGAGTACACTGTGCCATGCGATTCATCGTTTCGCTGAATGACGAACGATGCCCCGTCACGTGTGAAGCCTGATTGTGCGCCGTCGTGGCGTCTGATCTTATCACCGATAACTCGAGGGGGAAGACAATCGATCGCAAGCCGGGAAGGGGGGAAAGATCATCCTTCGCAAGTACGCGAGTTTCACATTTCAGCGTCTTTCACGACACGCGGACACTTCGCGGCCTGAGAAAAATTCGCGAACAGGAACGGAGAGAGCGCGCTGTATCCGCCGTATCAGGGAACAGAGCGAGTGCCACCTTGATTCTTACCTCATGAGATGAGACGCGAAAAATAGGATATAGGGTCGGTTTTACGTGTAACGGGACCACCACTTAGGAAATTATTCACGGTTAGTCCAAACTACTTAGACTGATTTAAGTCGCGCGTTACGCGATGCTGATGACAGGAAGTGAAGGAGCAACTTCTTGGGATGTAGAGGCGGTTAGCATTAGAGCCGCTATTGCGGCCTCTAGCGCAGCTCCGTGACAAGGCGCCGTTCATGATCATTCGGAAAGATCGGTTTCGCTTCGCGCGGATAGATAGCTGATCGCACTTCGAGCTACCACGGATACGATGCGATTTCTTCTTCTTCTTCTTCACCGGAGAGCTCCTGCGATCAGCGCTCCAGTTTCGGGTAGCCCGTTACGCGTCTCCACCGCGAAGTCAAACTCGCTCGCGATGATACGTAAAGAATCGGCCGTTCGAAAGATTTTGTTAGGAGTGTACAGGAAGCGATGCCAAAGTAACGAAGCTGTCAGTGGCCGAAGGTTGTTAAACCTAGCCGACGGCCAGCGGAATGATAAGAAAACATGTCACACGTTGAGTTGTTTTTGCGTTGCTCATCACGCCGACTAATTTTAATTTAACGCGTAATTTAAGCTCGTTACGCGCAGCGCGCGCGCGCGCGCGCGTCATCATAACGCAACATAATTTCCGACACGAGGAAAGAAATCATTATACAAGGTGTACCAGAGAATCGCGTGTTCGCGTCGCGATCTTAAGACCGTATCACACTAGCGACTCGCGACTGCGGCTGCGGCTGCGATTGCGATTCTTCCTCGACCAATCAGAAAGCAGCGACTCGCGGCTGTCGTTTGGACGGCTTTCTGATTGGTCGAGGAAGGATCGCAGCCGCAGTCGCGAGTCGCTAGTGTGATACGGTCTTTAGAAGAAGGGAATCTACCGGACTCCGCGAGGTCACGTCATCCTCGATTCTTTGCTGAAGCGGCAAAATGTGTACCTCCGAGTTCCAACGAGAAATGAGAGAATCTGCCGTAACGTCTCACCGCGTTTGCGAGCAACACACGTTGGCCACCAGCGATCTCCCACGAGAGATCGATGTCACACAGCCGCGACAGCGATCATCCTATGTCCACGGAACCAAGCCTGTATATTATTTTTTTCTTCAGCGGTGTTCATCATGCGTAGAAAATCTCACCGCCAGCACTGACATCTAAAAAGTCACGTTGATTTTCAAGCGATCTCTCTCCTCCGCGCGTAAGAAGGAAAGACGCAGGGTGGTCCGCGAGGAAGAATGAACAACAGCCGAATGAGCAACAGTGACGGCCAACGTGTTAAGATATCGATGCGTGCACTCGATGCACGCGAGATCTCTCGCGTGCGACGCAATCGCGCTCGTGCCGCAATACACCATGACCAATTGCACTTGTGACACAACGCTCGTTTAAGCGGGCCGCAAACACAATTGCCGTGGCTGTGCTTTTTTGCGGTTGGAACCCTCCTCGCGAGCCCGCGTGCGCGAGACGCCGCGCCGTTGTTTGCGAGGCTCGTCCCTAATTGCGATCAAAAGGCAGTCGCCTTTTGATCGTCTTAATTTAAATGGCTCGCAATTCGAGAGCGGTCGCTTCAAAGTCATTATAGCGCACTTTCCAATTGAACTCTCGCAAGTGGCGGTTAGCTAATTACGAGTCGGACGTTAATTGAGTCTACGTTATCTAGACGCTGACAGGACGTCCCTTGATTAATACGTACAGTAATTCATTGACGATGTTGCGGTTAACGGCGTAGCTTTTTGAGCTCGACAACAAGTGATAAGTGAGGCCGCGCGCGCTGATACTTTTGCCGATTTCTGCAGAAATCGTTAGCTGAATTAACACCGCTGGTAAACGTATCAATTGCGGAGGGAGGGAGAGCCGGAGAGGCAGGTTGGGAGAGGACAGAAGGGACGGAGCTGGCTGGCGTCTTGGCTGGCTCCGCGGGAACGGGCGCCAGCGTGGAAAGATCTTCGGATGAAGATATCGGCTGATGAACAACTTGGCGCATTGATTTCAGGCCTCGTTAGGACAGGCTATCATTAGGAGCGGGTGTTAAAATTACACCCTGTCGACGCGCGCTGAAGGTGCCCAAGGTGTTGATCGATGTGATCGCACGGCGATGCAAGTTCGGCGGCGGAGCAATCTCTTCAAAGGAGGCGCGGCCATTTGCATACAGATTGGATTGAAACTTTCGATCGCGGGGCGACGACGATCGCCCACATCCCCGTGGCTCCGCCGCCGTCAATTACTCGTTATTACTCGGACGCGATCTCGTCGCTATAATTTCTCAATTAACGGTGAACTGATCAAGATCGGTCACTGTCGGTTTCGGACCGCGGATGGCCGGGGGGGACTTCCGCGGGATTTTGTCGTTGCTGAAGAAACACGGAATACGAGGTAGATTTGCTCTCTGGAACGCAGTCGGGCGCGTTTTATCACACCGGACCGTTTGAGCAACGCCGGTTTCTGGACTCGAGAGAGTACACGGGGTCGTTTAGCGACGTAATCACGCGCAAACACTCGTCTCAGGTACGTGTGTACTCTGTGCAGTTAGTGGGCCACTGTTTGAGCAAGATTGCTCCATCGCGCGCGCGTGTGTACACGTTTCACCGTCTTTTTTTCCTTTTTAATATTGTCGTACAAGCAAGCTCCTTCACCTTTCCACCACTTGCCGGGCGCGCGCGCGCGCGCGCGCGCGATGCCCAGTCCGCGAATACGATACGATGCGCCAAGCGTGTAACGCGTATGTCAGAAGTCACGGAGGAGAAGCAAAAAGAGGAAGAACGAGAGATGCCGGACACGCGGAGACATTAATCTCTCTCACGCTAGCGAAACGAGAAATGCGCATAACAAGTTATCGTGTTACTTTATCGGAGCCGCTACGCCCAAAGGGCATGCAGGGGAATGCGGAGGGCCCTAGCCGCGGCATCATCAGTCCCGTTTCGAAAAATTCTCAAATCCGACGATTCGATCTCGAAGTCCCGAAGAGACTCGAAATACCAGTTTGCACCATTAGAGAGTACGAGAAAATTTACGCAAGATTTTACACGAGGAAATAGCTGCAACGTTCTTTCCGTCTAACATTCGAGCGTAGACTCGCGCAAGACTCGAGAGAGACTACGGGAGAGAGACTACTGAAGATTTTGAAACTCACTCGGATATAGTAAAGCCACAGAAATGTGCTCGGGGCCCTACGAATCGTGTCAGATAACAATCGTGTTATCTGGCGCACGAGAAAAAATGGCACGACGTGAGAAAGTTGCCGGCGGTGCTGCCGCGTTTGCGATTGCGGCGCCGAGAGAGGCCTAAGTGGCGGCGTTTAGAGCCTATAGCGAGATCTATAGCAGCTGACGTTAATTACGAGGCGCCAGATGTGAATGGCCGCCTTGTTCTGAAGTGGCACTCCGCTCTCTCTCTTTCCATTCTTCTCTTTTTTCCGCTCCTGTTTTCTTGCGCGCGCTACCGTTTTCTTGCGCGATACCGCGGAAATGCCGCGGAAACGCCGCGTTTCCGCCTGCAGCTTCTTCGAGCTGGCATCGCACAGAGGGACCACTAACTCCCGCGTAAACTCGAAAGCTGATAAAGAACTTTCAGATGAATGCGCTCTGAAAGGACTCGCGGATTCGCAGTTGGACAAAGCGATTTCAGAAAACTGACGAACGCTCTTTCCAGGCCGAACGTCTGCAGATCGAGGTATAAAAACTACTGCTGTCCAGGATGGACGAAGAAACCGGAGACAGGACTGTGCGTTATACGTGAGTAAAAATCAACAATCCACGCTTAATGTCGTCGACAAACGTACTAATCAGCTAAGTCAGTATCGTTATTTCTTAATTCACAAATAATATTACGTTAACAGCGTACGTGAGTAGCGAAGTTTAAATATCTTTACCGATCGAGGCAATATATACGTAACGGAAAAATGCATAGAATAAATTAGAATTAAATAGGTTGTATTAATGACGGATTGTAATTAATGACGGAGGATACGATGACCTTGCGCGATCATCAGGGGGTCCTCGTATGAGACAGAATAAACCTACTGCGAAATATCCGCAAGGTAGAGAGCAGTTATTAATATCGCGCGCGAGTAATCACCTATAATTATCATTCGGTATTGCCCGCGGACGTTGATAATGATCGTGCAATTACATAACGGACAAATAGGCATTTATGCGACACGAGCAGCCACCACGAATAAAACTGGTTTAATGACCTGTTATACGCTTCCTGTTGATCGCATTGTCTGGTAACGCGGCCACACTTCATGATCTGCGTTCCGTCAACTTCCGGGTCTTTCTTTTTCTCTCTTTCTCTCGTCCCCCCCCTTCCCCCCCCCTCTCTCTCTCTCTCTCTCTTTCTCTCATTGTATGTGTAATTAACCGATAATTAATTCGCATATAACAAACCGTTGCCGTAGAAGTTGCTCAACGCCCATCTTTTCGAGTTAAAATTGCAATTAATCATATTGTAGTTTTGTACGGGGATTTCTTGCATTTTGTTACATAAAACTTGTCATATTAAATAAATGCGAAATTCGTACAGCGCACTGAATATCGATCGATAATCGCTCAGCGTTTCAAGTGTTGTTCGCGTTTTAGCAATTTGCACGAGACGCTGCGGTCCTCTAGGAAGATGCATAAAGCCCAACATCTGCTTATGCGAAGGTGACATTGTCGCTTCTACTTGTACCGGCGGACAAAGCAAAGGTGAGATATGTATCGAACGACCTCGGCCGACTGTTCTCATTAATATTTCATAAAACTGTCAGTGTTGATCGAGGAGCATCCTCGAGAATTCTAGTCGATAGCCAGGCATCCACGAATAATCTCCACGAGAAATTTGAGAAACTGATAATTAAAATCAAGTTCATTCAACAGTCACCACCCACGAGATCGGAAGTGGCAGTGAACGCGGCGACCGGGGTGAGAACGGCTGCAAGGTTCATTGTATGAATGGAAATTGCGTTGATGGTCGTTGCCAATGTCGTAGCGGATTTCAGGGGGAGTTTTGCAACGAACGTGAGTAAGATCAGCAAGTGCTGTGAGTGCTGAAGTAAATTCCATAGGAAGCAAGTAAAGCGAGTACGAATAATTAACCAGAAATCGTGAATTAGCTATTTGTCGGGAACCCTGCCAGAACCAAGGAAGATGCATCGGTTCGGATCGGTGTGCTTGCATCTACGGATACACCGGGAGACGTTGCGAGACCGATTACAGGTAACGCACGTGCCTTTCGCTTTATCTCCGCGAGTTCTTTCACAATGTATCTTTCAGGACCGGACCCTGCTACACCAAAGTGAAAAACGGGCAGTGCTTGGCCAACCTGCAAGGGGTAGTTTGTACACGGCAGCTGTGCTGCGCCACTGTGGGCAAGGGCTGGGGTCACCCTTGCGAGAGGTGTCCAGTTAGAATGGACTGTGAATTAGGTTACTTGAAGACCAATCAGGGTCAATGCGTCGGTACGCCAAATTTAGCCTTCCGTCTTTTATCGGTCTGATCTTGTCGACTCGAAAATGGACATACCTGCACTTTTATTTATACAAACTAAAGATAATTGAACTGTTTTGCTTGTACGAGTAAAAATAATCAAATTGTGTTATTCACGATTTTGAGCTTTGTCATAATTTAAAATAAATATAACAGTAATCGTAATTTTCGCACTCTCTTCAGATATCAACGAGTGCGAAGCAATTCCCGGATTGTGCCAAGGTGGAAAGTGCCTAAACACTCCTGGCTCGTTCACTTGCGAGTGTCCTCCGGGACAAGCGAGGGATCCCGAGACCAACGAGTGCAAGGATAAGGACGAGTGTCAAGAGGAAGGCATCTGCGCCGATGGTCGATGCATAAACACTAACGGTGGCTATTACTGCCATTGCAATCCGGGATTTATACAAAGCCAAGACCGCAAATATTGCATCGGTGATTATATTATTGCAGAGATATTAGATATCTCCCTAGTTTATAGTACTTATTTGCTCATGGGCTGATTCGATAATTAAAATCTTCTGATAATTGTTCGTCAGACGGCAGACAGGGATTGTGTTACACGACGGTGAATCGTAACGGACAGTGTAAGAATCGACTGGCGATGAGACTGAGCAAGAAGGATTGCTGTTGCGGCAAGAACATGGGCCGGGGCTGGGGCGACGAATGCTTCATCTGTCCTAATCCTGGCAGCGGTACGTACGCATCTCCGAAGAGAAATGCAAGAAACAGTACTTGACGCGCTCGAGTATACGTGTTTTGTATGTACGTGTTCGTAATTCTTGACAATGCCTACGTAACCTTATCGCAAGTTATCATCTTGTTTTGCTTCCAACTCTGTAAAATTAAATCTGAACTTGAACATTTCGAGCGCGGAATGTCTTCGATATTTCATTAAATTGAAATATTTTTGAGATACTCTGCGGAAATATCCTGTCGTGTCAAACCGAATACAGAATCAACATTGATGAAGAACTGAGACGAGCATCAGTGCGTACTAGATAAAAGCGAGCACTATGACGATTGACAATTCTACAGGATCCACGTTATTACTCAATTGTAGATGATTACAACAGGCTTTGCTCGCAACTGCAGTTTTTCACCGAGGTGAACGAGTGCGCGCTGCGACCGGACATCTGCGGCGACGGGCACTGCATCGACACCAAAGAGGGTTACGAGTGCGAGTGCTACCCGGGATTCACGAGAAAGCCCGGTGGTAGATGCGAAGACGTGGACGAGTGCCAATTAGGTTATTGTCAAGGTGGGACCTGTCGCAATTATCCCGGCAGCTTCGCCTGCGACTGTCCACCCGGCTTCGTCGTGTCCGGCGAAGGCAGATACTGCACCGGTAATTGCTCTCTTGACCATCCGCGATGTTAATGTTTCAAATGACTAATAGTAGCGGCAATAGTAACTACAGCAATAACGGAGCAGTAATTACACCAATTGTATGTTTCTAGATCACGACGAGTGCCAAGACACAGGAATGTGCACAAATGGACGTTGCATCAACATGAACGGATCCTTCAAATGCAAATGCAATGACGGTTATACCCTGTCACCGTCGAAGAATACCTGCGTAGGTGAGGAAAACTATCTATCTGTAAATATCAGATTCTCGCTAGGAAAAAGTGTGAGCAAGAAGGCACGTGAGTCTGATATCCCAAGGAATGATCACGCGACAGTAATCACGCCCGAGTTTTCTGCATTTTCAGATATCAACGAGTGCCTGGACAATCCGAGAATCTGTCTAAACGGCCGTTGTGAGAACACACCAGGATCCTATCACTGTATCTGCCAATCGGGCTTTACTCCCTCGAGAGACAACACCTTCTGCGTAGATATGGACGAATGTTCTACTAGCGGCATGTGCGAGAACGGCAAATGCGTTAACATGGAGGGATCCTTCAAATGCGTCTGCGACTCTGGCTTCAGGATTGGTCCTGATCTGAGTCATTGCATAGGTATTCATTTCACATCAACTAACAATACCAACGATGATGAAAATGGAACTATTTATTTTCTAAAATATCTCGATTAAATGTCTAAATTTTCAACAATATCAATGATTTCATATTTCCAAGATGTGCAGTTTGCTCAAATTTTTAAATTTCGCGAAGTTGAATGCAGAAATAAAAAATCTTTAAATTAAAGAGAGAGAGAGAGAGAGAGAGAGAGAGAGAGAGAAATCTGCGATGAAGGCATAATATATATACCTACAGTTCTCTTATAATTTATCTCACAAGATATTGACGAGTGTCTAAGTTCACCTTGTCAAAATGGACGTTGCATCAACACTCCTGGTAGTTTCCGATGTGAGTGTCATCCGGGATTCAACTTAGGTCCTGACGGAAGATCCTGTCTAGGTTCGTAACAATTATTTTCCGCACGAAACATATTATGCGTTTCGTCTCAAATATACACTTGTGAAATCTGGGTACATCTAACAAATGATGATTCCGCGCTGGTCAGATACGAGAAGAGATCTGTGCTATTCGCAGTACAGAGACGGCCAATGTTCCAACCCGACATCCACTGCCGTAACAAAGTCCAGTTGTTGTTGCTGCACGATAATCTTGGGCCAGCCGATGGGCTGGGGCAGCACTTGCCAACCCTGTCCACTTCCGGGCAGCTCGGAGTTCGAAGCTCTGTGCCCGCATGGCGCCGGAATGACTTACAATGGCGATGGTAAAAAGCCAAAGTGAAGTACTTTGCTCGAAGACCCGAGATCTCAAATTCTAAACTTGCGAGAATATTAATTTCCACATTCTCGAAATTTCGAAACTCAACGTTCAAAGACGAGTTGGCGTTTCTCGAACATGAGCTCTTCAAAGTTTAAAAATTTTCATTCTAATTCTAATTAAGAGAAAAGAGAAGAAACGTAAACGCGATATATACGAATATTGCCATAGATATCAACGAGTGTGCCCAGAACCCAAACATCTGCATCAATGGCGGATGCGAGAATCTTATGGGGACATATCGTTGCATCTGCGACAGCGGATACGAAGTGGATGCAACGGGGAAGATATGTAGCGACATCAATGAGTGCGAGCTGGAGGATTCCTTATGCAGCGGTGGTCAATGTCGAAATACGCCCGGCAGTTTCCAGGTAAATTAACCATTTACTGACTACCTCATTCAGTGACAGAGAAGATATCGATTAATTAAAAATTAAAAACGACTACATTTTTATCGTAAATTACTGATCTCACTGGACACATTGTTGCGCGTACTTCGACTCCGCCATTAAACATAAGGATCTTGCGACCATTAACAACACTGATCTATTCACAGTGCATCTGTCCGACGGGCATGCGGTTGAACACGCAGAATCAAATGTGCGAGGACGTGGACGAGTGCGAGGAGCTAGGACCAGAAGTGTGCTTCAACGGCATATGCATCAACACTCTGGGAGCTTACGAGTGCGAGTGCTCGCCGGGATACATTCTCGACAACACCGGCCATATCTGCATGGGTACGAGTCACTCGCTTCTCCGAACAGCAACGAAATAATCATGAAACAAATAAGTATGATATATATAAGTTAAGGCAGCATTCTAACTGATTTCAGACAATCGGAAAGGTTCCTGCTGGACCAAGATGGTAGATGGCCGTTGCGAGAACAATCTACCGAAGGTAGCTTTGCGTTCGGAGTGTTGCTGTTCGGTCGGCGTGGCTTGGGGCAGCCCTTGCGAGATCTGCGACCACTCGCTCTGCGAGTGTTCCAAGGGCTACGCCAAGGTAGACGGCAAGGGTTGCACGGACATCAACGAGTGCGAGCTTAACAATGGGATCTGTAAAGGTGGCGGTACTTGCGTGAACACAGACGGCTCGTATCGCTGCGAGTGTCCGCCTGGTCTCACTTTGGACGCAGCACGTAAGCGACTGATGACGAATGATCACAAACACGCTCCACTCCCTCAAAAAGATTACATAAAGCCGATTAAGAAAATATGTGAAGGACATTACAGTAATAATGGTGCATTTTTATCATTTTCGATATTTCTTCGACTCTTAATCTCCTAAACAACCGACATTTTGCAGAAAAATTTCCCTACGCTCATTCCATATGGATCACCCTGCATATCTGTTCCTTGTAATCTCTTGATTACAGATATCACTTGCATCGACACGAGGCAAGAAACTTGCTTCTTAGACTATCGTCATGGCCAATGCACCAATCCCATAGAAGGCCATTTCCCTAAAAGCCTCTGCTGTTGCTCCGTCGGACGTGCCTGGGGGAGCGATCGGTGCGAGCTGTGCCCTAAAATGGGTACACAGGCCCACATGGAACTGTGTCCTCGGGGGGAAGGCTTCACCGAGCGTCAGGATATCAATGAATGCGTCGAATTTCCGGGCATGTGTTTAAACGGTAGATGCAAAAACACGATCGGCAGTTATAGTTGCAGATGCAACCAAGGCTATGCGCTCGACGAGCACGGCATTAAGTGCAACGGTAAGTTTGAAATTATTGGTTATCGGTCAGATTTTGGAATTCAAAATCCAAACAGTTCGAATCCTAACGAAAAATGTTCCGGATCTCGACGAAATAAAATCCTAAAAGTGTGAAGCGACGACTTTATGTGAACGGAGAAACCCAATTCGTTTGAACTATTGCCAGTCTAAATCCCCAATCAAGCTCAAGACTTACTTAGAACTTGATAAAATCTGGTTAATTAAAAAGACTTGATTCGTCAAAATCTGAATTTAACGAAACCTGAATAATTTAAACTTGACAAATATAAACTCTCTCGTTAGATATCGACGAATGCGAGATCATGCGTGGAGTCTGCGGGAATGGCACTTGCAGGAACATGCCCGGCCATTTTCAATGTGACTGCAACCCGGGTTATCGCAGCAGCGACATCATGAAGATTTGCATGGGTACGATATAAGAAGAGGTTCGATAAAAATTCAGTTCAGATTCAATTACGCGAAAGTATTTCAGACATAAACGAGTGCGAAGAGACGCCGGGATTGTGTCGTGGCGGCACTTGCATCAACACCGAGGGCAGCTTTAATTGTCAGTGCCCGCCGGGGCACGAGCTGGGCCCCGACAAGCAGTCCTGCAAAGACATAGACGAGTGCTCGAGGACCAGTGGTATATGCTCGAATGGCGTCTGCGAGAATATGATGGGCACTTACCAATGTATATGCGACGATGGATACCAACAGACGGGTCTCAGATCTCACTGCGAAGACATCAACGAATGTGCGATTGGCAATGGTGGTTGCGAAGACATTTGTCTGAATACTCCGGGCAGCTTCTCTTGCTCTTGCCGGTAAAGAAACAAACATTACCAAGATCTATTATCTTCGACTTGGAAAACTATAATAGATTGTTGACATTATATTACACTCATGCTCAATAACTGGTGACAGCACTGGCTACGCTCTAAATCTAGACGGTCGAACTTGTCTGGATGTAGACGAGTGCAAGGAGAACCCACGAATATGCAACGGAGGTAAATGCAAAAATACACCGGGTGGCTACAAGTGCAACTGCACGAACGGTTTGTTGCCCGGAAGAGATAGTACGTCGTGTATAGGTGAGTATTCCATCTACTCATTAAAAATTACATGTACTCGTATTAAAGTTATACACGCTACTTTGTGCAAAATGTTGTTGTAAACTTGTTGTGTGTTGTCAGATATCGACGAGTGTGCAACGCAACTACGAATATGCGGATTCGGCGAGTGCTACAACACCATCGGCTCCTTCAATTGCCGCTGCGAAGAAGGATACTCGGTGAAGCCAGCGGAAGGACCTGCTTGCACCGACGACGATGAATGTCGGCTAAACGCTTATTCCTGCAGTGAATTCGCCGAGTGTCAAAACACCCAGGGCTCGTATGTTTGCACCTGCCACGAGGGCTTCACTGGGAACGGAATCGAGTGCTGGGATATTAACGAATGCTCCACGAACAATGGTGGCTGCGACTCTAACGCGCACTGCATCAACACCGAGGGTTCATTCAAGGTATTATACATTCGCCATTAAAAAGAAAAATTAATCTCTTGGAAATATAACAATAACGTGGAAATGACAAACGATTGATTCAGAGAACATTACAAATCCGAGTTTGCTGTCAAGCTGTGTGCGCGCGCTTGCTAAAATCTACTAATCTACTGAAATCAATTGCATCGATTTTAAATCACAAGAAACAAATTCTCTTAATTTCAGATTCTGATTCTTTCTAATGTTCAGAAATTTTAAATATAAAATTTTTGAAATCAACTTTAAACGTTAAATTAAAGAAATCAGTTTTCCAAATTCACAGTTCGAACTTAGAAGTTAATTTTAAAATCAATTGTTTGTAGTGCGTATGCGACGCTGGCTTTCGAGGCGACGGCCACAGCTGTAAGGACATTGACGAGTGCGCGGAAGATAGCACACTTTGCGAGAACGGGCACTGCCTGAATTATCCGGGCGCTTATCGCTGCGAATGCGAAATGGGTTTCATGCATCCAGATGAACACAACGAACAGGCGTGCGTAGACATCAACGAGTGCGAAATGTTCAGCAACCTGTGCGTCTTCGGCCACTGCGAGAATATTTTCGGCATGTTCCGCTGCGAGTGTAACGAGGGTTACAAACTCGATGGTTCCGGCGGCAATTGCACTGACGTGGACGAGTGCGAGAGCCCGCAATCCTGCCAATATGGTACCTGCATCAACACACAGGGCAAATATATCTGTCGCTGCCCACCGCACTATGAGCTTGTGGAAGCCGGAAATGCTTGCGTAGGTACGTGTCATGTCATTAAACCTTGAGCTATTGTCGCGCTTCACGTTGATATATCCTTATTATCCTGATTTACTCTCGATTAAATAGATAGGCGCGAATCGTTCTGCTTCACCGGTTTCGAGCATGGCACCGGAAGGCCTCAATGCATTTTCGAAGTGGCGTCATCGGTGACGAAGGCCACATGTTGCTGCAGCATTGGCAATGCCTGGGGCAATCGTTGCGAGGAGTGCCCGCAAGTCGGCACAAAGGAATATGAGCAGCTGTGTCCTAGTGGACCAGGATACAGACCGAACCGTGTGACAGTTATTTTAGAGGATATCAACGAGTGCGAAGAACACGAGAATATCTGTCAGAATGGACATTGCACCAACACGTTCGGTAGTTTCATGTGCTCCTGCAACGAAGGTTTCATCTTGGACGACACCAAGACCAATTGCATCGGTAATGAAAATGTGTGAGAAGTTTCAGGAAATAAAACTTTTAAAATTACGCGACCCGATGCTTTCGCGAGAATTTTAATATTTACTACTTTAATTTGATTACTTTTACTTATCGCTTCTAGATCTATCCATTTTTATATTTTTTTTACATATTCAGATTACGTGTATGTGTGTATGTTTGAACACGTAAAAATTATTGCAGACATCAACGAATGTGCTCTGCATCCACATATATGCGGAGTAGGATACTGCATCAACGATCAAGGGAAATATCATTGCGAGTGTCCCGAAGGATACATGGCGATGCCAGGAGGAAGTTAGTAACTTTAAAAAGTCTAAATATTTCTATATGTCCAATCTTGTGATAATTAAATTTGATCGATTCAATTTAAAGTAGCCAAATGCGATTGGTACAAATCAATGTAATTATTTCGTAATGTGCTCCGAATAAGGATACAAAATATGAAATAAAATGAATATACGACGAGGATGTAAACTACTATAAAAAGAACGGACGATTCACACACGTTGTTACACGTTTGGTATTTTAGAGGAATGCGTTGACATGAGGAAAGAGTCCTGCTATCTCACCTACGAAGCCGGACTGTGTCTTAATCCCATGGTGCAACCACAAACCAAAATGTTGTGCTGCTGTTCAATGGGTGCTGCATGGGGCAGCAATTGCGAGAAGTGTCCAGGCGAGCGAACTCGTGAGTATTCACACGATCAAACACGATCGACATATGGAATGAAATCCATATGTCTGATTGGTCTTGTCAGGTGAGCACGAGATTCTGTGCGGACTGGTGCCAGGCCAGATCATGAACCCAATCACGAACCACTCCGAAGAAATCGACGAATGCGCCCTGATGCCGACGATGTGCACCCACGGCCGATGCATGAATACACCTGGTAGTTTTGAGTGCCAGTGCGATCGAGGCTACATTTACGATCAAGATTCGCACCAATGTATTGATGAAAACGAATGCCTGCAGGTGTGGCTTTTCACATTTTCGATAAAATATCCAACGCCTTCAATATTTATGATATCTATCTTAATTAAGACTAATATTGTACGATTAAGATAAGATCAAACATTGAAGACAAACAACAATTTCAAAAGATCCCTATTATTTTTGATAATATCGAACTTTGAGGTTCCCGTTGTTTTTAGGTACCGAATCCCTGCAGCGGCAATGCACAGTGCCGCAATCATCAGGGCTACTTCGAGTGCGTGTGTCCAGCCGGTTATAAACTCGGCCTCAGCCAACACGATTGCGTCGACATCGACGAGTGTTACGAGCGACCGGGTATCTGCAACAACGGTGCATGCAACAATCTGCAAGGTGGCTTCCAGTGCGTCTGTCATTCCGGATTCTCGCTGACTCGCGACAGAGACAATTGCGTCGACATTGATGAGTGCCAGCGTAATCCAAATATATGCAACAACGGGACCTGTATCAACACCTTGGGCTCCTACAAGTGCCAATGCTATCAAGGATTTAAGCTTAGTCCTAACAATGATTGCGCGGGTAAGTCATCAAATCTTGACTCTTTTTCATTTTTCTCCGATTTCTTTATTTGATCGATTCGATTCTTTATTCGAAAGGTATTTTGCATATCTCGGCTTTAACACATTCCTTTCAGATATTAATGAGTGTCGAATAATGCCGTTCTTATGCCGCAACGGTCGATGCCGAAACACGATTGGCGGTTTCATTTGCGAGTGTGCGGACGGTTACGTATTGGCGCAAGATGGCCAACACTGCCGCGACATTGATGAATGCCACGAGGTAAACTGTGATAAAATACGATATTTTAATTTGCATCCAATTCACGTTGCTCATATATTAAGTTTCTCTTAATATTATATAACTATATCGTTACAAAGTTTTAAATAAATCAAATATACAAACGCTTCCTAAAAATAAAAATTTTTTATTGTTGCATCAATTTGTTGCAGATACCGGGATTATGTCCATCGCCAGGAAAATGTCAAAATCTAATGGGATCGTACATATGTTCTTGTCCACCGGGTTACGAATTAGACCATACAAGAAAAAAATGCGTCGGTTCGTAAACCCCTTCACATCTCGATACACAATAATCGCTCGTACTATATTACCATGTCCTAAAGTTCTTAAGAACTCTTAAACTGATGTTTCTCGTAACCATCTGACAGATGTGGACGAATGCGTGGAAACGAGAGACATCTGCGAGAACGGTCGATGCATCAACACGGAAGGCGGCGTAATTTGCGAATGTCCAGTCGGGTATCAATTGAGCGACAAGCCGAACTCGATGAGGTGCATCGACGTGAGACAGGAACAGTGTTACGACACATACAGACGAGGCCAATGTACCAGTCCACGAGAAGGCGGTGTAACAAGGAAACACTGTTGCTGCACGATGGGCAAGGCTTGGGGACGTTACTGCGAGGCATGCCCACCGGAGAATAGCGGTACTTTAACTACAAATCAATGAACATTTTCCAGCGGCGCTACCTTAGGGAACTTATGAAGAAGAAGAATCCAGAAAAGTAACGCTCGAATCATTATGTTCATTTAGAGGAATTCAAGAGATTATGCCCGGAAGGACCAGGCAGGGACGACACTGGGATTGACTTGAACGAGTGCCTGTTCATGCCGGATGCCTGTTCCGGAGGCGAATGCATCAACACAGATGGCTCATTCCGATGCGAGTGCCCAACGGGATACGTGTTGGATGACACCGGGAGACGGTGCGTGGACAACAATGAATGTTTAAGTGTCCAGAACATCTGCGGTAACGGCACTTGCCGCAACATCGACGGTGGCTTTGAGTGTTCGTGCAACGATGGATTCGCGCCGGGTGCTAACCAAGTCTGCGAAGACGTGAACGAGTGCCTGGAGCTAGGCAATCAGTGCGCTTTCAGGTGCCACAATGCGCCAGGCTCGTTCCGTTGCATCTGCCCGTATGGCTACACGTTAGCTCCTGACGGCCGCCATTGCATAGGTAAATAATTATTAAATAATATAATAATGTACGTGTATTATATTACTTAACAATTCTATTATAATCTTCGATACGTCCGATAATATATTATAATTATTAAAGCATACGTGAAATATAACTTTTTCGTGTTTCCTTCTCAGGTTTTGCACGTAAAGATCGCACGTAGAGATGGCGAGATCGTCTAAATGTATAATCAAGTTTTGTTCGAGCAAAATATTCATTTACAGACGTCGACGAGTGCGTCACACCGGCAAACGACTGTAGATTCCAGTGCAAGAATCTGATTGGTACTTTCATGTGCATTTGTCCGCCTGGGTATCAGAAGATAGGAACGGTGGACGAGTGTAAGGATATCAACGAATGCGCTATCAACTCTGGTCTCTGTCAACATGGGCGTTGCGTTAACTCGGAAGGGAGTTACCATTGCCTCTGCTACGACGGTTTCGAGCAAAGTCTGGATGGAAAGTCGTGTATTGGTATGAAGCGATGCAAAATTGGATAGTAAATAAAAGTAATAATATAATCTTAATTTCGACCACGGGCAGAAATATATCTGTATTTTTCTATGGTCAGATCGTAGAGTCGGCTATTGTTTCCTACAAACGATCGGTGGCAGATGTACCGCTAGGACCTCAGAACTACGCACAGTTACGAAGGCAGACTGTTGCTGCACCATGGGAGCGGCATGGGGTCCGCATTGCGAGATCTGCCCGTCCCGAGACTCCGACAATTACAACGAGCTTTGTCTGGATAAAGGATTCTCTGTGGACGGTCAAGGTGCAGTCATGCCTTATTCCGTAGACATTTAGAATTTCACTATCAATCATACTATTTTTGTCAACCGTGACAATAACGAGGTTCTACTTTTTATTAATCTAAATTTTCAGATATCGACGAGTGCAAGACCATACCCGATCTTTGCAGGAATGGTCAGTGCATCAACACCCTCGGTTCCTACAGGTGCATCTGCAACAAGGGCTACAAAGCCGACAAGTCTGGTATTCACTGCATCGGTAAGATTCTCTAATAGACAAGTAATAGTAATAACTACCAAGTACTAAAGTGATTATGTACCGAATTGGGTTTGCAGACATCAACGAGTGCGAATTGACGCCGAAACCGTGCAAATACAATTGCCAGAACACCGAAGGCAGCTTCATCTGTTCATGTCCGTCAGGTTTCATTTTGAACCCCGACGGTATCAGCTGCAGGGATCTGGACGAGTGCGCGACTGGGAATCACTTGTGCCAACAAAATTGCATAAACACTCCGGGGAGCTACGCTTGCGGCTGCCAAGAGGGCTACAACCAGCAAGGAGACGCGTGCCATGGTTACGTATCTTTCCCAATTTCGCATTATCCAATTTTAAAACATTCTGCTAAATAATAATTCTTGAATTACCTTTTATATGGTACAATCTTCCCTTTTAGATATTAACGAATGTGATCAGCCAGGAATTTGCCCAAAACCCGGCAAATGTATCAACACTCTGGGCAGCTTCCAATGCATCTGCCCCAGAGGCTTCAAGCTCGATCATACGGGAAGATTTTGTACGGATCATAACGAGTGTGCTGACGACGCCAACTGTGAGCATGGCTGCCAGGTAAAATCAATTTGTTAAAACGAATATTAGACTAACTTATTAACATAAAAAACTTATCAGATTGCAAGGGAAATTTTTCACAACGCTCACAACATCGTGAATTTCGATTTCTAGAACTTTATGGGTAATTACCGCTGCGGCTGTCCGGAAGGCTTCATTCAACATCTCTATTACAATCAGTGTATCGATGAAAACGAATGCAACCTGTCGCCTTGTGGGGATAGCACATGCATTAACACGATCGGCAGTTATAAGTGCGGTTGCCCTGATGGCTACCAGTTTGACAACAATTTGGCAATTTGCGTGCAGGTACAATAACTCGAACCCTTGTATATTTTCGCAGCTATTAACTTTTGCAAGATATCCCAAATACTTTATAACGAATTACCATTCAGATGTCGTAACATGTTTAAAGAATAAAAGGAACGCGTATCTTTATCTTGTTTTCTAAAGGTGAGTGCCGGATGTCTAGGCAGTCCTTGCGCGTTCGGATGCACTCCCAACGGAGCCAGCGGATTTATTTGTGGCTGTCCTACTGGTTATCAGCGAATTGGACAGGTTTGTCCTCTAACCGTATAAGATAAAGAAGCTATTTAAAATATTTAAAAAATACATATTGGTACTGTCATTATTATTTATCTTTATTCACATTTTAGGGTCATTGTCTGTCTACTATCAACCCGTTATCTCAAGGACGATACGGCGAAGAAATCGGCAACGTGCCAACCTTTCAGATCAACCCTGACCCTTATCACATACCACCGGCTGACGATAAGATAATTTCCACGGAGGGGTGCTTCTCATGCAAGGTTTGCATACCTCGCGCGTTTACAACTTTCTTTTATTTATGATAACTCAATAACAAAGATTTTCGATTCAGGTAAACGGACGACACAGAAGGAATACTAAAAACAGGTCGGCAGACAATGAAATGAGAATGAAGAGAAGCGAGATGATGAAGAAACGTCGAAATGCTAAGGCGAAAAGACATCATCACGGAACGGAACATGTTCTCAGAGTCAACTTGCGTCAGACAAGGCATCGCACGCGGATTATCAAGCTGCAATCTGCCATCAAGGTAATTCTTGCTGTAATTTTAACCACTTGAAAGACTAACGTTGCTTCAAACGTTTCTACACGTTGTTAATTTGCAGGATGAAGAGATGAACTACACCATTGTACGGGGCAACAACGACGGTCACTTTGAGATCGTCAGGGAACGTGGTATTTCCGCTTTGCACTTCCGGCATCGGCTGAAAAATCCGAACGAGTTTCACATAGTGATTCACGGTCGTCCGAAGGACGAGGCGACAGCGAGCAAAGAATGGGAGAAACCGCTAACGTTCAGAGTCCATCTGATAGTCGTAGAATGAAAAAAACAAAAGTCACGGAAAAGAATCGAGGACAATTGGATTCCGTGAGAGGACACTGCCCTATACTGCGTTACGCTTCTTCTTAGTCAATTTTTACGGAATTATTTCGAGCTGTGGCGAAGTATTAAAAGTACCGGAAACATCAACGTTCCAGGAGAGCCGCGAGAAACACAGAGTGGTCCGTAAGATTCGAGGACTGATCATTAAGCACGAGTCCTTGGACAATTGGAGATCTGTCTTAACGGAAGAACGCAGGATCACTGCATGCCGCGACTTCTTGCGTTTACTCGCGCACAAATTGCCTCATTTAACTGCCAGATAATAGATATTCTATCCGCAAGCAATAACGATTTCTTACGACCGCGAACTTGCGACATCTGCGAAACTTTTACACTGCCAACGTGCCTACCAAGTGCCTTACTTGTTTTTCTTTCCTCGACGGTTTATATTTACTCGTTTGTATCAACACGCGCGCGCGTATCGAGATAATATTCACCTAAGTTTTCTCATTAGCGCAATTAACTCTCCCCGTGCATCGATTTAATATAATAAAAAAAGAGTAAGTCGGAACGGAAGATTCTCCGAGTGTTGTTCGCGAACGCCAACGCATAACAGCGTTCTCTTGATGTACTGCCTACAATCATTACATAAACGCAACACGATTAGATTAGAGATAACAAAGACTAGAGATGTACAAACGCTAGATTACTACTGTAGCTTTAAGCGAGCGAACGCCCATGTACACAGTTATACATGCAAATGTAGCTTTATATATTTATAAATCTTAGCTCGAAAGAAAATGTGGCACATGCGAGTGTAGTTTCGTGCGCAAAATGAATACACTTTGCGCTCAAACCTCAAAGAGAAATTTGTATACATATCACCGATCCACGTGGTTGCTTGATGATAACATTTACGACATTTCGTGCCAATAATAGTAAGGACATTAGTTATGTATAAAACTGAAAAATATGCTAGAACTCGTATAATAAAGTTGTGAAAAGAGTTTATTAGAAACGTGTTGGTCTTTCATTCTTTGTCTGTAAAAACTTTCAAAAAACTCAGCCCCTCACAAAGTATCTCGGGACGAAGATAACTCTTGAATAACGTAAAACGTAACCACTTTAGTTTTAAAAATTTTCATCCTCGAAAAGCACTCCAAACTTGTACGTCATATCGTGTATGTACACCTTGCCAGGATGCAAGACGCATGATGGGAAATGCTCGATATTAACAGCGTTGGGATAATTCTGAGGCGTCAATGCAAATCCGCCATGACGGTAATAAGGGAGACCTCCTTTGCCATAAATTGCCTCAGATTTTCTTATCTCGATTTCCGTCGTCTGTTTGATGATTTAGTATTCGAAACTAGATATTTTCTGCAAAGATTATTAACTCCAAAAAACCTTCAATTTCATATTCACCGTTAAGAAAGAATCAGCTTGTAAATTACAGATGTTGACGCGTTCGGGATCTGGCAACTCATTAGCCGTAGAAACTTGCAGACCAGGATGATTCGAGTAAACTTCCAGAAATCGTCCGGAAGCAGGATGTAAAATTCTTGCCAAATAACAATGAAATAACTCGGTTGATACTTTATATATCGGAGTAAGTAAATTTTGGATAAAAGGAAAAAAAAATATTCTCTTCATATTAAGACAAATGATATGCTACTTTCAATTAAACGTCGATATGCATGTGTAAGATTTGAAAGATCAAATAAACATCGAAGGTTACCGGGCGTGAAAACGATAACACCAGTAATTGGGGCTATTGATGCACAGATTATGGTTGTAACCGCCACCCGGTACTTTGAATAATCGACGTCGGTTCAACTGAGTTGGTAAACGCAACTCGTATACTGTACAGTCGACCGGAGATATGACGCCAGTCGGTAACTTGTTCTGCACATCCGTAAAAGTCCAATTGTCGGCGTTCACCGTGAGAACGTGTTTTCTCAATTCTTTCGGACCTGCACCCTACTGTCAAACTTACTCAAACAAAGTTGTCTTAGGGAAATGTTTCAAATATCATAACCAAGTATCTCGCATAACGATCTTTCAAAAAATATATCACGCATTTCCAAACCAAAAAGTGCAGTACTTTTCTTTCACAATGTTGAAATAAGAAATTCGGGTAACGCGCAAGATGCAATTATGACATACTTTTTAGTAATAATGTCAGTATCCAGATACTTGAGTATTTTGATATTATCCAGATATCCACGAATTGGCAACTACACAATGGCAGATACGTGTCATAAGTGCTTTTTATCTCAGTATTTGACTATTACGGATAATATCCGAATACCTACGCAGTATTCTGGACATTGGATACTCGTGTAAAACGAAACTTTACGTTCACGGCTTACATGTCCAGCGAGGTTGAACAAACAATAACTAGTGACATTAACGGGAGTGGACTTTGTGGCAGTGGCGCGAATGTTAATATGAAGTTGATTATCGTCCGTCCAGGTGTATTTAACCTGCGTTAACAGATCACCGGGGTATCCTTCCCTACTGTCTCGGCTTAAATGCGACATCACCTCGTCGAAGAATATGATGTAAAAGAAACAAGAACTTCAACAGAATTGTAATCAATTTTAAGGAATAAATTAGACCCTACCACTCGATTGTTAACAATCTGCGACTGCCAATTAACGTTGTCGAAGGCAACTACGCCGCCATTGAAATGGTCCTTTCCGGTCTCGTCGTTAATCGACAAAGGGTAGATCACGTTGTTAAGACTCATCAGACCGTCGGAAATGCGATTGGCCACACGGCCAATAATACTTCCCATATACCTGTCCTTCAAATATCCTAATTACGTTAACGATGATGATAAAGTGTCACTTAAAACACAAACGATAAATGTTAAACGTACGCATGTAAAAATTTATGTACGCCACGCACAAGACTACTTATTTAAATAAAAAATTACCCTCCATATCGTCGAATCCCAGAACAACGTCGACCAGTTTTCCATCCCGATTGGGGATTTTGATCGATTGAATACTGGCGCCCCAGGATATCAAACGGACAATCGCTTTGTGTTTATTCGTCAGTGTATATCTATCCAAAATAAGACATGTGTCACATGACACACATTTAGGTTAGAATATCCATTGAATATACTTGAATATAATAGTGAAAGATTTTCTCATATGCAATACAGAATGTTTTAACCAAATAATTATTAATGACGGCAAAAAAGTTGAATGATTCCCTCTGCATGAGGAACAGCAATTTTTTGTGATACCTTCTGACGATTTGACGTGGTTCATGAAATACGACGTTCCTTAGCCTTGACCTTGGCACAAAGCCGAAGCCATCCTCTGTGATTAAAATATTCCCGCAGGACATGACGCTTGAGGTTAAAATAAAAATTAAAACTCTAGAGACTGTACGCGTGTGTGTTTAAACTTTTCTTACACTTTCTAAATATACTTTCTATCTCGTATCGCTCACATCATGATTTTTTATCACCGGTAAGAAAACGAGATCTAATTGGAATTATCGCACAGAAATTTGGGAAACGGTTTCGAGGGAAACATCTAGCCTAACAAATTGATATATTGAAGTCGGCTGACTTCATCCGCTGTCAAACACTAATTTTCGATTCATATGGGATATAATCGAAAATACTGTTCATTATTATTCCGCCGTTTGATCTTCTTACTTTCGCATGTGCGTAAATTAATCGCATCGTTACACAATTCTTTTCGTAATGCAGTAATATTTTAAAATTGACGCCGAGATGAAAAATCAACGCTCTCGGAACATATTTGAGTTCCTAATCCATTAGACATTATTTATACATCCTATAACCAACATCCTACATTTTCGTTCGGTCGCCTCGACACCTGTGTAAAGATACCCAAGGAACATCCCTAAATCATATTTCGGCTTCTGCTTCGATACATTGTAAATATTCCCCTCCGCCGACAATCCATCCCACAATTTCGTTTTATCATCTAGACATGCGCCGGTGGTTTCACCGGCAAGAAAAATCGCAAGAAAAATCGCGAATTGCGGCATTGCGATTCGATTATCTCGAGGGACACGCTCGAGGGAGAGGCTCTCTCTCCTTTTATCGTCACGGTCCGCGCCGCGCTCGCGCGCGCGATTCGGAATCTCGACTTCGCTTCCGCCGAGCTTCAGAACAGTCGATGGGAATAATTACATTAATGGCGTCGCCGACAAGAGAACGTGACAACCCGGGCGCTACCTCTTCTCTCCTGCCGACGCTTGCTCGTGTGTCGGAAGGCACCTCGAATGAGAGAGCGAGCAGGCATCTCGACGGAAGAGCGTAACGCGCTTCCCTACCACCCCCGCTATTGCCGAGTTATACAGAGTGGCGCGCTCGCACCATCTCGCGCGCACGGCGCGGTGCGGCGAGCCCGCGCGCGCTTTCTTCGTCACAATGGCGTAATGCCATTCTCGACGCGGTAACGCGCACAATGACGCCGCATCCCGCCGCTGGAAAGTAATTATCTTAATGTCCTGACGAGCCGGCGCGGAATGGAGACACTCGCTCGAAACGACGACGAGGACGACGCCAGAGCTCCGGGGGTTGGCGGCTCCCGGGCGGGCGGATTCGTCTTGCGAACAACCCCGCGCTCTCTCTCCCTCTCTCTCTCTCTCTCTCTCTCTCTCTAGTCTCCGGGAACAGCGAGCGCGAATCGCGATCAATGTGTGAACGCGGTATATCTTGATGACTCGCTCGTTGCGCAAAGCGACGCATTTAGTTCTTATTGTTGAGCCGAGTCGGATTAAGTACGGCATGGAATCTTTCTGATACCTTAAAATGTGATATCATTCAAACAGGTTGATCAAACGAAGCCAACGTTTCGATGATCCACGACTGTCAATCATCCCCCCCAAGAAGAACCTGCCTGAGTCCGGGCGAAAAGAAATCGATCGAGAGAGGTCCATACATTTATTTCACACCTAAGAAATAAATACTTTCATCAAGATAGAGAGTATATTACTTGAAGACATTTCCTCCCCAAGGAAAGGTTTTGGATCACGATATAATCATAAACTTCGCGTAAGTTCCGCAATTTGTGTTTCGCGAGCACGATCCTCCTCCCTGATCGATTATACAGAAAATCGTGTAGAATCCGAAAGCCTCGACAGAGGAGGAATCCATAATTCCATTGGTACCCCTGCAAGCGAGTGATCCTTTGTCACAGGTACTAGATGGTGGAAGGAGGGTTACGGTTCCCGTCGGAAAGAGAAAATGCGCGTTTTACCATGACGTATTAACCCCCTTCTATCCCCACCCCTGTCCTTTTCCTTTCCAATCTCAATTAGTCATTACATCTCACGGCATAGCGATGCCCTTCTCGAAACTCCCTCGACGTCCGCGCCTGGTTTCCGCATTAATTGCGTCTCGACGACGCTCGCACTCTCTCCCACCTCTTCACCACCCTCATCCTACATAGGACGTTTTCAAAAGGATTAGTGTCGACGCCACGAGCAGCATAGTTCGACTAAAACCCCTTCCCATTCCAAAGAAATCAGATCGAACTACTAATCCGTTCCTAATTCAGTGTATGCGTAATTCAGAAGCTCTTTAGGGATTATCGAAGCAATATTTTCCGGTAATTGCTGTGTATTGTACATCAACAACTGACTACCATCTAAAGCAATCGAGATGTGACGACATTTTATCAACCAGCAGACGTTCGCTCTCGTGTATTTTCGAAGAAATTCCAAGTCGTACGTGCGTCAAAAAAATTCGGAATCTTGAACATCGCAAAGCTTAAAGATTGAAAAGCTAAAAACTCATTACTTTCGAATCTGAAAGACTGAAATGTGCAACGTACGTAAGTTGCAAAGATATGGAATCATGGAAAATTATAATTATAAAAGTGGTCAGAGTATATCTTAAACACTTCACCGTTACATTCCTTTTCAGAACGGTATATTCCTTTTGGAAGCTGCAGAACATATACGCGCGGAAAATAAAAATCGTTAAGGTTCCTGTCACGACGCGTGCCACATCGCCTCCCACTTCCAAGGCAAACACACCCTGTAGACCGTGCACGTGTTCCTAACGCACACGGCGGATTTCAGCGTAAGTCGCTCGAACGGATTCTAGGGTTGCACTTCGTCGACCCTTTCCGCCCACCCCCGTTCTCTCTACCGCCGCCCGATCTCTGCCGCGCGTTGCCGGATATAACCTATCCACCTACGAAACCGGAGAGGCAGTCGCTAATTACGCAACGCGTTCGAGCGTGCTTTTCGGGGTGGCGACGTGGCACCGCGATGGGTCCACCGGGTTTCTCTCCTCCTTCCCTTTCTCTCGCTATCGCGCTCCCGTGCTCTCGCGCGGGCTTTCCTGAACCCGTTGCCCTTCCTCACCATCTTGCACCCCCTTAAGCTGCGTCCCCAACGAGCGACCGAAGAAGAGCTTGTAATTTACCGTTGTCTGAGATAATACCGAGAAAGTGTGGAATCCATTCCACCCGTCTATATTTTAAATCTATGCGAACTGAACTGCTTGATTGAATCGAGTCGAAGATGTTCTCTTGTGTATAAAGGATAAATGTCACTGATTATTCTATTATTATAATGTAAAAAGGCCAAATTCAACAATAGAATAAGTTATAAGACCAAAGAGAGAGAGAGAGAGAGAGAGAGAGAGAGAGAGAGAGAGAGAGATGGATTTTTGAGATTTCCAATTTCTAGATCGTCGACCATGTTTAAAAGGCCGAAACTCCTGCGATGTTTTAACATCCTATAATATTAGCACCCGAGCATCTTCATGGTACATCGAAAGCTACCGAAACAGTCATTGCGGACGGAGCTTTACCTCTCCTCCCTTATGCCTCCGCGATCGCCTATAATCAGTCGAATATGGCGCCTCACCTGCTGCAAAAAGCTCGCAGGATGAACGTTCCACCGGTTCCTGCCGGCTTGACGACTCACCTCGTCGGTCGAGCAACCAATTTAATTTGCAGGATCAACGTCGGAAACGCCGCGTGGATAATCTCGCGTATTCGAATTACATGCTCCGCATGCGATACGTCGAATGAACGCATACATGTGAGAAACTTTACGCATCCTATGAGAGGATTACTAATTAGCTATAATCTGATTGCTAATTAAAACAAAATCAGGTTTCGTGTCTTTCTGCATGAAAACGCGATATCTGTCCCACGCGAAGCGCGCGTCTTAGATTTTTGAGATATTAATTTAGCGCAAAATCTGGGTCCTCTCTCTTCGAGTAAACAATCAATAATTTCGTTAATTGCCGAACGTGCCGCCACGTGCCGGACGTCACGCGGTTCATGCCGATCTCTCCTCGTCGAGTCGTTCGTCAAACTCTCGATCAACTGACAGAGAGTATTTATCGCGGTGCCAAGCCCCGCAAATCTTTCCCCCGAATCCCGTATCCTCACCACGCCTCTTGGATTCGAGACCCGAAATGGATCTTAAGGGCAATCATTAACGCGCAGACAACGAATTGTCATGGACCGGCGACTGAAAACCCGTGAATCGCGGCGAACGGGTGGAAATGCATGAAGAGAAGAAGGGACGATACCGGGCGGGCTATACTTAAATTACCTAGGAAGCATCGTCGGCATTCATACGTGGGATAAGCATTGTCATCCCGGGGGATTGTCTCGCAGACACCTCACGGGGCGCACGCTTTATACTGCAGGGGTGCCAGCAGAGGTGGAAGAAGCCGAAGGGGAGGGGGGAGAGAGAAACCTTTATTAGGTAGATAAGCGAGATGCGAGTGCGTTATATAGATGCCCATCCTCGTTTTACTCACTTCAATGCCTAATGGAATTGAGTTCTTGCAAGGGAAAGCCGCCTCCCCCTCCCCTTCCCGCCGCCTTTCCGCCACATCGGTTGAGCAGGGAAAGGAGAGAGTGCGGGAGAGGACGACGGCGAGGATATGAGATAATTGGTATTTTGTCTCGCCGAATCCTTTGTGCCCGGAGTTTTAATTGACTTCGAGATTTTTCAATACCAATTTGCACCCGACTGCATGCGGGTAAGAATGTGTGTGCACGCGCATGTATACGTGTATGCGTGTGTGCGTCGCGCGAGGTATTCGCGGAGAGGCCGACGGAATGGCGACCACGTCGTCGGATTTTTTCCGCGACGGAAGAGACGCGCTCCTCGTTTTTCCTTCCGTCACCTTTGTCGACGCCGCGACGAGGGTGGGTTTTGTTTTTCGAGGTGGCGCACCCGGCGTGATAATAAATTATTAGCTGACGGACTCGCTTTTCTGGATTTTTCTGTCCGATCGCGCCAAGATCAATGGGGAGGAGTGACGTTGTCGAGAAATATCTCGCGACTTCGTCGTAAAACGCCCTGCTTAAAAACAAAATTCTCGATTTCATTGATTCCGCGATTAATTAAAAATCGCTGACGTCTCTGTCAACGTATCTAGCAACAGCTCGCAATTACAATTGACAAATTCTCTTCCTTAAAAGGTTTGTACTATACAATTAATCTTAGACACGATTGTCGAAATCAATATTATTACACAACGGTATGACGCAGCGACGTGTAACAAAGTCTGACTCAACGCACGACGTGAGCAGCAAAATTTTAAGTAAGACGACCTATTAGTGCTCACTGATGATTACGAACGTGATGCGAGCAAACAATGACAAGAAAGGAGGAAGGAAGTGTTTGATCGTGGCAGCGAGGAGACGTCGAAAAGCAGACGTAATACGAAAGCACAAAACAACTAATACTGTTCGCTGAAAGCGAACGGCGTCTATTCGTTCGCGTCGTTGAATATCCTCCGGGAGCCGGGAAGGTGGGAGGATGGGCCACAGGACGCGCGACGGAGGGGTGATTCGGGATTGGGAAAAGGGGGCAGCGCTCTCTCCTTTTGCTGCTTTTCATTCTAATCCAAGTGCCCTGTCGTCGAGAGGATTTTTTGCATTGTACCCGCAGATTTCCCATAGGAGGGCAACCGTCAGATTTTGCCCGGCATTGTTTCACAGAAGCGACCGCTCCTCCTCCCCTCCCTCTCACGTTCTCCGTGTGTGCGTACGTATGTGTGTATGCACAAATAGGTCGAAACTCGCTTTCGAGTAGACTCACAATTGATTACTCGCCGCAGAAAAAAGAAGGACGGCGAAAAGTTCCAATGTACGGTAAGAAAATGAAACGCGGTTGCGTCATTTTGGGAGACAACAAGGTAAAATAGAAACCACACTGAGGATAGAAACAGTTTCTCCGCTTCACGTCAGATAGCAGCAGCCAGCAATTTGTGATGCCTACCGTAACGCAAAGTGTAAACAACATTAGATACAGAATTCGTAACGCCTCCGATGTGCCTTGAGCACATCGATTTTTTATCACTTCATCAACTCTCACTTCCACAGGATAGCCAGACATTACAAAGTGTTAACAACATTTTCCAACTCAAAATTTTTAATCGCTGACCCAAAATGACCTATCAGCGATAAACTAGCATTAATCCGCAAACATTTGTTGAACAATTATTAACTGATGTTCTTGAGGTTCAGGTTCTCATCTAAAGACAAGTCAATACTGGGTTAGTACCAGCTACTGGTATTGACCCAACATTGAGAACTCATTAAATAATTAATCCAATACTAATTCCCATACACACACACACACATATACACAAATCTTTTATTTTCTACTTAGGCTTAATAAAGTAGAAACGATATCTAATATACAGTTAATATCGATACAACTAATACATTTATCGATATGCCAAATTGGTTCAAGACCTAAGGATGTACAATACTTTGTACATGTGTTCCACTTGAGTGTCATGTCACTGCCCCAACTTACTCAGAAACTGTCGGACCAACGATCGATTCTTTCTACGCTAAACTCATGATGAAACTCAATCATGGAAAAGCATCCCTTCCCCTTCCCAGTCCCTTCGTCCGTACAATACCAAACAGTCAGTATTCTTGAGTGGAGACGAAGGTCTGTCGGGATTGGTTCAGAAAAACTTGAGAGCTATAACCGAAAACTGACCAAGAACTCTCAAAGCGAGGAAGGAAGGAAGGAAGAAAGGAAGGAAGGAAGGAAGAAAGGAAGGAAGGAAGGAAGGAGAAGAATGTTCTTTGCTGTGAATAGGTGTGCGAGCGTAACCAATTATCGCACGATATCGTGTCGCGGTGGCGCGCGTGCGACGAAGGTACGCGAACGGAGCCAGTCAATAACGACCGGTCTATACGCTATTTGTACTTCATCGTATCGAGGTAATCGATAATAATAATTGCAGTCCGCGGTATCGCCGAGCGGCGGCCAGCTCCACTCGTCGCGAGTCGCAAAGTGGGGTGGCGAAGAACGACGATGTAGGATGAAGCGCAACGAAGTGGCGCAAAGCGCGATGAAGTTACACGAACGCCAGAGAGGCAACGGCCAATCGAGCACGAGGGGCCGGCCGGTGGGCTGTGACCTACGAATACCCGACTACGAAGCAACACGCCCACGAAGGTGAGCCGAATGAGAGGAATTTGCAATGGATGCGACAGAGAAAGGGAAAGAGAAGATGAAAAGAGAGGACCAGACTTCAGAGAGAGGGCCAGACCGTGAGTCGAGCCTCTACCGACTTCAGTTCAAATCGGCTTCTCGTCCAAGCATAGTCGACTCAAGGCGTCTGGCGCACGAACATTCGAAAAGTCGTTATACGTGTGATTGCGGACTGTTTCAGTCCGGTGTGCACAGACGTTTAAAGTTGCTCAAGTTGAAAAAAGGGACACCGATCTGACGTACAAACGTGATTATTCGCCAAAGAGAAAAACCTCATAAAAATCTCAATTGGAGAAAATGGAAAATCATTTTAACTGGTTACCAGGCATAGAGATGCCACCGATACAAGATGTGAGACAAAATGTGGCGGACAACAGGCGACAGGCAATTGAATCATGCGAGCAAACACACATCAAACGCCCTATGAACGCTTTCATGGTATGGTCTCGTGAGCAACGGAAGAAGGTTTCCCAAGAGTATCCAAAGATGCACAATTCGGAAATTTCAAAAAGACTCGGCTCCGAATGGAAGAAACTTGGAGAGGATGTTAAGCAGCCCTTTATCGAAGAAGCCAAGAGGTTACGTACTGCGCACCAGGAAGCGCATCCAGGCTACAAATATCGTCCTCGAAGGAAGCACAAGTCGAGTCGGTTTGATAAACACACGACCATAAATACTTTCCCCCCGCCTAACTTCCCGTTGCCGGCATACTTCGCCACATCGCCGCATCCAGTCAGTCATCATCACCCGCATTCGTTTGACTATCCGCACTTATCGCCGTATTTAGGATCTACTTTCGATTACCATTTTAACAAATCTATAGTAACAGGAAACAATATTGCCCCAGGACCGCCCAATTACGCAATAGCAGCCCCTGCAGCTGCCGATCTTGTCAACAATAACACAAACATTGTCACTAATAATTTCTACTCGAATCTCTACCCACCAGCATCAGTAATAGGTAAGTCTGTATTGTCGAAGTCGTCGGTCATGACATGTTTATAAATTAGCTCTTTCCTATCGGTCGTTACACCGCAGGAATGAATCTCAATCTCAATTAATATTCTCTTTCTCATCAATATCTGGACTTATCAAAAATGTCACTAGCGCCATCAGAAATACTCCCAGGGGCAGTCCTCAGGCCACCTGATACTGTGACCAACCCGTCGGAAAGTCAGATTCATGTACTTTCTAAGGATATCATTGATATACCGTATTTTGTATAAGAACATTTGGATGTACTTATACATATAAACATATCTTCGCAATATATTATTCAGGTATGCCTAATTAAGATACACTATCATCCTGTTACATTCAGAAATTATAAAATGTTTCACGCATTTTCAGGGGACTGATCTGTGATACTTCTAATGCAATATTTGTAAGAAACCAGATCTATAAAAAACTAGATAGATATCAAGATAAATACTAAATAGATATCTATAAATTGCCAGATAATTTTAAAGCATTTTTCTTAAACTACAACTTTCATTTTCAGTTGACTGCGCTATTAATTCTCTTAGATATTATTAATTTATGTTTCTAATTCTAACATATATTATATGTTACATTAATAAAATTAGAAAATTTGTTTTCCATAATCAGGTTCGTTAAATATTTATTAAAAGTCAAGTAAAAATAATGTTTTCAGTTATTATTTCTATAAATCTGTAAAGTCTCCAGACGGCACACTTATAAATAAACAGTTATGAATAACATTAAAAATTCATATGATTTAATCATTTTTAGATGTTTTTTTATGATATCCTTGATATCATAAAAAACCTTTATAACAACCCCCTTTTATAACAAAGCACTTTTAGTATTTTTTTCAATTATTCACAATATAAATTAATAATCAGGTTACGGAGGTTCGCGAGACTCCACTATGAGACTTTCTACCAGTATGATGCGATATAAAATCGAACGGACCAAACAACTTGGTAACATAAACGAGAAAGTGAAAGAGAAACTGGTAATTATTTTCAATTATTTTATTTATTTTTCTGTTTGAAAGTGTATATGTAAGAAAATACGGGAAGCATTTGAATATGGATAATATATATATGCGCATATATACATATGTATATACACCTGCGTATGTATACACATATACACATATATATACACGCATATAATACATCAATATTTATATAATTCTATATATATATATATATATATAGAAGTTATAGACAAATTGCATTCACCCCATAAAATGAAAGTATTGCAATAAAATATTTTACCCAACACAACGTATATCTTAGTGAAATAAGAGAAATAATTACATATGGCAAGTAACATTTTCGCTAACAATTCAAATCAACTCAGCGGTCCAATCCATCGGTTAACAAAATATAAACACTAACGCGACAAACACAGATGCGTGAACACTACACAATCGAATTGGCACGCATATTTACGCTATTGCAATATTACAGAAAGACAAAGTCGAAAGACAAAATCGAGAAACAAAATTAAATATTCAATAAACAAATTTTTAAATGACAAAATTATTGTTTATCCTTCGAACCTTCCAACATATGAAAATGTCCAATTCTTTTTCAGTCGCTCTTATATTTTAAAAATCTCAAAAAAAGGAAAAGATCAAAATTGTCTTACAAGGCAAAATGAATTCATGAAACAACTTCATGACCAAGCATCTGCTGGCTTGGTCACCCTCGATGGTTTTCAGGGTGGCTGCCGACAAAGCTCTCTCGCTGTCAACGACGCGGATAATTGAATTAGCATATTAATGCGGGAGAACAAAGGAATCGTTTAAGCCAGGATTCGTTTCGCCTTGTCCAATGGATTTTACTATGAAGCGTGCGGTTTCCGATGAATAGTCACGGTTTAACTTTCCGAAGTGTGTCGCGTTTCCACAGAATGCCTGCTAATTGTTACTCTGCAAATTGTTATTCCGTTGTATATGTCCTTCGTAACTTGTATTCTAAATCGTTCATCGTTGGATCAAATTTGTCAACCTTGACGATATAATTCGAAGCTCAAATTATTCAAATTTCACAATTCGAATTATTCAAATCGGTTTGAAAAACACGACCTAAATTACATTTTGTTCTCAAAATTCGTACTGTTCGAATTATCTGATCTTCGTAATTTCTTTCATTCTTTTGCGCAACTTTGCGTTACTCGCTGACTTTGCTATTTTCACGAGATATGTATTATAATTTACTGTTTTTAGCGATGGATCAAGAGCTATCTACGAGAACGTGCGAGTGAGAAAGTGCGAAATAAGTTACTGACGAATTAAATTTTATATCCTGATGATTCACATAAGATAACAGTGGGAATGACATCGTTTATTTATAAATACATTTATAAATTTTTAAATTTATAAAGTATAATTTATAAATAATATCTAAAGAAATCAAGAGAAATCCCAGATTACGGTAAAAGAAGGGAAAAGGCTACTTGAATGACGAAGTAACTTTTCGTACAAATTGCATGATTTATGGAGGAAATATGACATTGGACAGTGACAAAAAGCCACTCCATGCCCAAAAAAAGGCAGTTCAACAATATTAGGCAGAAGTCTCAGAAAAGAGATACAAGGGCTTGACGACAGAGACTAATTGCCTTCCTATTCAAGACAGCTACATAGCTACAAAGCTAAATTTAATTTTTATTTTTCAAGCAGTATAAAAATCAGGACCCTACATCCTAATGTAACAGGCATAAATAAAAATTGTGTGAAAAAACAATCTTGTTGTCCCATTATACACTCGTTTATAAGTTTCTCTCGTATTCTACGTTGTCTCGAGCACCATGCATATATATTTTTTATCAAACTGGATACGTCGAGTTTCCTTATCTCGCAGAAATTTCGAATTATCTCTCAGAAGTTTAAAATTACCTCATAGAAATTATCTCTCAAAGATTTCTCTACTATGATAAGAGATGTAAGTTTGATAAAAATACAGAATCTGAGAGATAAATTTCGTTTGTCTCCACGATAATTTGTGTGAGAAAAAAAAGAACTACCGCCTAGTGTCTATTCGTTAAACTATCCGAAATCAATAGATGGCCAACTTTGAACCCTACCACCTGCGGCGTTGAACGTGGAAAAAAAAAGAAAGCGACAGGAAATCAGTGAGAGAATGGGAAAGAAACGTGTTATTCGTCGCGACCATGACGTCTCCAGACCTTCCACTAACTTATACGTGCGTCTTTGTCTCTTGAGTACCTGTTCAAATGGATTTCGGCATTGTCGCTGCCAAGGAAATACCAGGTTACGAATTTCAAGTCGACCCTTGCAACTGACACTATTCCGTTGACACAAAAGTTTTGGAGGTCAGAAACGTGTTGCGAAAACTGTTTTAACCCTTTAACCGCTACGGTCGAGATAACTCGAGTGTGGAAAAAAATTGCGGCCTTGCTACGATCGAGTTTACTCGATTTGGACTTTCAATGTGTGTGGTATTGCGCGTGGTATTTTTTTTTAATTTAAAAATGTGAATTTGTGAAAATCTGGATCATCAGCAAATTATAAAATATTTTATAATTGTAAAAATAACTTAGCAAAGAGGGTCATATTGGTCATTTAATATCTCAGCAGTTAAAATAGTGATTATGAAGAATCAATTCAATCAACGAAGATCCAATTCTGCTGTTGTTCCGCGGCTAAAGTTAGCTTTTGTTCGTCGATGTTGATATATAAATTTGAGAATAGTTTGCTTCTTTCTCTCTTCTCCAAGACAAATACAGTTAATGTCAATCTTGCTTTTACATGTCTGCGGTGCGAATAAATCAGCCGCGTAAATGAAGTAATATTATTAACAATTGACGCACAACACACGACTAGGAAATCTTACATGTTATCTTTGACTATTCTGCCATCTTTCTCCGATTTAAAGGCATTTCAAATGGAGCTGGTCAGGTTTCGTCGTGTGTAATACTTGAACCGCTGCGGTGATTAGTTAATTAAATTAGTTTCAGCGATTGAGACGACGTCAGAGGCACGAGCGTACGGAACCCCTTTCGGTACGTTTGAAAGCCACCGTCGCGACGTCTGAAGGGAAAACCGGAAGCCTTTGTGCGCCCTGAGGCTGGCTGAAAAACAAAGGAACTCCGTACATAGAGCGATCGCGTTGCGTTTTCCGCCTTTGCGAATAATACATCGCGGCCGATCGCTCGGAAAAGCACAGTCAATCAAGGCAATTTACAAAGAGGCGCTGTAATTAATATACAACGCAATTAATATATACACGTGAGGTGAGCGAAGTCGTTTGAAGCAAAAAAAAAATTACGTTCCGTGGGTAAACCGTAATGCGGGAAAAATGAACACATGACCCCGGGGTACTCGATAATTTGAGTAACGCGCGAACGTTGGAATCCTAAAAATTAATAATCTGCTAGTACTTAGAAAACGCAATATTCTAAAGACACATGAGATGTAAAAATCTTGTGTGAAAATATCGAAAAAGAAAAAATCTAAAAATATGCGATTTGATATAATCCTCGAAGGTTCCAGAAAATGTAGAATTGCGACTCTTACCATACTTGTAAAAAAAAAAAAAAATTCTTAATAAACGGCTACATACGAGTATACATATATGTATTATAAAATTTTGTTTTTAATTGTTTAATTCTTTATACATTTGTAACGCGACATTTCTACCTGAATTTTCGGAATGTTCAGATATACGTCTCCGGCGAGCCGAAGTTTGCACGACACAGAGTTGTGGCGATTGCCACGTGAGCGAACTTCTCGACTTTAACAGACCTGCCAAAACTCCGCAGGAAGATCCCTTTCGAAGGCGCGCTAAATAATTAAGAAATCCACTTAGGTTCCACATTCATCAGCGCGATAAGTCGCGCCGGAATCGACTGGTTCACCCCTGCCTGGCAGAAATAAGTCGTCGGAAATGGACAATAGTCATCGAAGAGATGCCTTTCTTAAAGCTTTCCGAGGCGCCACCTCGAAAAACAAGCCTTTCCCATTTCCGACAAAAGCTCGGCGTCAGCTTGTCCTTGTGCGAATATCTCCGCAAGAAGTTTCCGCCTTTCCGATTATAGTGGAAATCCATTCATCAGGACTTGACTCGCCTCAAACGAGAGTTCCCAACCGCGTCGCGATTCAATCAATTTTGCAGGAATTCTATTACTTTGCATATTCCACAATGTTCGTTGTTCGATAAATACTCGAGTCGTTTACAATCAATCAAATCGCTCGCGAGTTCCTGAAGAATCCAAGAATATGACAATATCGTGAAATCTGAGAAAAATTTCTTAAAAAAATCTCAGGAAAATATATCTTTGGATACAATACCCAATTTGCAGTCCATGGAATTTAAGTCGAATAGAGTTAAATACAGATTCCAATTTTACAGAATCCTCGAATTCTCAATTTTTGAGAACGAGTTTCGCGTTTAGGAGGAACTTTAGGAGGAACAAGAAGAAAGAAACCATCCGTTTCTTCTACACCAACAAAGTCTCAGAATTCACCATTCCGAAAATGTTTCAGAACTTTTTTTTCTTGAAAACGTGTTAAGCGTATTTGTCTGACACCTCTTCGGGTTCTTTTCAGCCGCCGAAATCACGTCGCACGCCATTTGCGTCCTGTTGCATCAAGTGGGCCGGATGAATGCACCAGACCTCGTTCTGGTTGACAACGCGACGCGGAATGTAACTTTCTGCCGCCCTGTATCGCCGTGTATTCCGCCCCGAAGAAGAGAGAAGGCTGAATCGCAGGGGTGGTGGTTGGCGGCAGGAGGAAGAAAAGAGTATAGTCAACGGAATGGCACTCCGTGGACACTCCGCGACTTCCCTTTCAGAAAGTATCCCGCCACCTCTCCTCTTGACCCTTCGCGCGACAGGAAGAAGATCGTGAATATAAATCCTTTAATGGTCTCGGAAGCTTTTTGCCCTTGCCCCTTCAGAAAAATCCGCTCGCTGAATGCGTACACTGGGTTGCGATTACCGGTGAAACTGATGCATGACGTTGGCACACTCACGCGGGACAAAAAATGTCGCGGACTACTTGCTGCTGTATTTGAATCATTAAGAGACGACGTTACGGCACACTCGGCAAGCCGCACGAGTTGCGATGTTCTTCTTCACACACAGGCGTCAGGGGAGACAGGGAATGTGCGATAGAAATTATCGAGCAACAATAAACTGTTGTTACCGATGCTCCTATGATTTTTCTACTCGAACGAGCTTAGTGCAGGACCATAGCAACTGCAAGACTACCTAGTCGACAAAGAAGCGATCAGGGAAGTTTTCATCAAGTTAGGAGGAAGTCGATCAAGAAACGCTTTTAACCCAAATGATTGCTCCTACGCTCTTCCCTCATCAATCACTTATGCATTAAATTTCTCAATAGTTTGCGGACAATTCCCGTTTGATCCGGTCTATTTTCGCAGCAGATATCTTGAGTGCTTCCTGGGAAAATGGGAAAAATGTTCACTTGCTGCTTTGCACATGTGTTTTGCACAGCTGCTTGGGGAGCCATGGACACTTTCACCGCTCGCTCGCCGAGAGCTTCGTTGGTCGCTCTCAACAAGCGCAGCGAAGATTCGTGTCCATTCATCCTGAACGTTTCGAATCCTCAATAACTTTGACTAGATAATTTGGTACGCTTAAGAAGCAGATAGGTCCTTCCAGAATTAAATGGTGTGAGAAAACATCGAGACATGGGTCCTTTGTCTCTTATACGACAAGGTCGTATTATTCAGGTCACTTTGCTGACTGATTTATTGTTGTAGCTAACGACAATCTTTTAGGAGACAATCTTTTAGGGGACAAATCAACCTTTCTCCATATGGAGCCTTCCCAGAAGTTGCTCGTTCAATATCCTGCGTTGAGTCGTAGAATCTTCGTGAAGATTCTAAATTCTTTAAATTCATAGACTGCAGAGACCAGAAATTTATCAAACACCACTCGAAGATATGCACGATGCTCGTGCGTCCTTAAAGGAGCTGCCATAATAACAATCTTATCCCGTTGATGATACGCACAATATACCTCTCGTGCGTTCTCAAGAGCATTTTCTTAATCGCAGCGGCGCGCCATTCGCTTTTTCAGCTCCCCGGCGTCGTCGTCGGCGAGACGAACTGTGCAGAGCCGACTCTTGGTCTCGCGTATAAAGCTTTGAAAAATAAAATCCATTCCAAGGGTACGCACATAAATGTTTCTTTCAGTATTATCGATGTCGTCCCACCTCCCCCTCTTCCCGCCTATCTCACCCTCTTCCTCTTTCTCTCTCCCTTTCTCTTGCTCTCCGTTGCCGACACTCGAAAAATCTCGTTGCGAGTCAAGACTGCGTCAGCCTCGGCATAATGTGACCCAAGGTTTCAAGTGGGCCGTCGACTCTCGCCCCCTTTCGTCCCTTACTTCGAACGGCATTATGCTCTATATTCTTACGTTTTGCGACGTCGGGCGTACGCAGGCATTGACCTTTGCCCTCGCGCAAAAGTCCCCTTTCTCGCGCGAAGGGGGGTTGCGCAGGCATTCCTGCTGCTGGCAGTCAAAACACCCGGCGCGTACCACTGGTTTTCTGTTATTTTTTCAAATGGAGCGATAGAGCGCGCGATGTGTCGAGAGCCTTTGAGCGCGATTCGATCGGTGTTCCGTTAAACGACCGACCCCTCGAGTTCTCGTTGAGTCGAGCTCCGAGATCACCTCGTCTTCAGATCGCGCGCGCGCTTTTAGAAAGTCGCTCCTCCAAAAA